CCCAGTTCGATCGGCGTCATCACACTTCTGTTATGGGTAGGGTAGCTTCTAGCGACAGCAGGTTGGACGTTTCCTGCAGGCGCAGTCATCTTTTGTACTCGAGTCGTCACCCACGGGAAGATCGAATCGGCGTTGGCTGGACTACATTGCACCCGAGACCGTAGCAAATTGCTTAGCAACACACGCTTATCCGTGCTTCTGACCTGCTCCTCCGGGCTCTCAAGTGCATACAGCACGAGAAGCTGGACGTGGCTGAGAGAATCCAAAAGCAGACAAGACCACAAACTTCTGGGATAGAGCAGATTCTGACTTTGATCGAGTAAAATAGTAATGTTGCACATTCCACAGATATAAAAGGCAACACAAATCCGAAGCAGGCGCATTCTAACTACTACTATCATCAAGTATCCGCCATGGCGTCTTCGCTCGTCAGGGTCCTGGGCCATCTGGGTGTGTTCTTCAGTGTCCTACGTCACGTCTCGGGAGAGCAGCATGCAGATCGGCTTGCGGAAAGGGAGACGTCTCTCCAACCGCGGGGGTTCCTCGGGTCATGCGTTGATTGGGGTACTGTCGAGAACAGAAGGAATGAGATGGCCGCGTTCTGCAGGACCACAACAGGCGACTGGACATGGTCGGTCCTTGACTTGAACCATTGCATGGTGAATGACGATGGGTCCTTAATGGCGCAAGACGAGTACGTCTTTTCAAGGGGCAATGCTAAGTCATGCTGACGCCTGCTAGGGGATATTTCTTCCGGTCTGCTGGTCCCTGTTTGTCTGATAACACGACGGTATCGTGGGCCAATTATAAATGCAGCACGCAAAACGACGATAGTGACGGGCGTCATGTTGATCACGGGATAGACCTTAGTAAGACGTACAAACTACATTGTCGTCGCACGCGACTGACATGCCTCAGATTTGGTGGTCGGCAATGACAACGGTACTCTGTTCTGTGGGCGCCAAGCCTACAAGGGGGTTGTACACAGCCAAGATCAAATCAGCTGGTCTGATATAGGAGCAATCAAGGTCAGCGACTAATGGTTGGGGCATCTGGAACGCCCCAAGAATTGTCCCGGCGATAGTACTATCGTCCAGGTCATGGTGGAGAGTTCGCTGTTCCGTGATCGTTGGAGAGTGTCGTGAGCCGTGTGAGGATGTAAGAACGGTGGTATGAAGGGCTCTTGGGACTGGATGAAGTTTGTACACAAGGATAAGCAAAGTAATACAGACATTACGCATCCCATGATTTGAGCTTGAATGACATGAAGAGAAGGCATGACGGGCAAAAGCCACGGTCCGGACTGGTGTAGAGATCGTGAAAGCCTGCTGGAAGACCCGTAGCTTCCTTCACGCATGTTTTGCCGGAAATTACTTGCGAGCATCTGGGTACATCGCGTTAGTAAACAGTCTCAATCTTGAAACCTCTTTCATTGTCGGCGATACGTCGGCGTCCAGTAGTGCAGCTGGCGGTATGTAGATTTGAACGGAATGATGAAATAGGTCAATCAATGGAGTTGAACTTGAAGGTGCACTACTTCAATTGTTGTCGATGAGACGTCCGACTTCGAGCCTGCACTCGACCACCCGGAAAGTTCATAGAAGTTTAGGTCCTCCAACCCGGCATTTAGCGATGGCAAGTGCTGGCTGTTACATCTCCTTAATGCCTCAGTCCATCTGTAACGGCACGGTCAACGTTTTGGTCGCAGTGCTCTCTGGGTGTCGCCGCACGCCGGGTCGCGGATACCCTGCTCAATCTAGAAGAGGCAAATGCAACTAGCCAAGCAATACAGAACTCGACGGATCTAATGATGCGTTGGTCTGGCGAGCTCCCGCTCGATAGGTTGCCGTTCTGAGACGTTGGAATTTTGCCATTTTATTGGTTCAGCGCATCTGACGCGCTGACTCACTGACCATTTCCTCGACGGCCAATTACATCCATCGTCTACGCAGCAGCGTAAACCTCGTGTGAGATCCGAGACACACTGATGAGAGATGCCCTTTGCTAGGGCTCTACCACAAGCGGAGCTATACAGCAAGTTCCTACTGCAACAGCCGCGGGTACAATACGGGAAAGGCTGATCTCTACGAGCTATGAATGGCAGGGTCGAGGACCTTATATGGCGCCAAACAAGCGCCCAATGTGGATTGAGAAAAAAGTGGAGGCTTGCGATTGATCTTGAAAATGAGAAAAACTCTGGAATCAATTACATTTCGCTAATTACTTCGATGCTGCCTAGATGAATGGATGCTAGCAAGGTAGGCATAGGGTTCTAGGGCTTGATTCACACAACCCCCAACCCCTGGACACGCTCAACTCCCAGAGCCGTGAACACTTCCGACCCTTCGCCTGAATGTGCTTCGTGTGCCCAGATCGTAGGCTCCTGTCCAGCGATACTCTCTTGATCAAGAAACTCATCAGAAGCGCCAAACCCGATACGCCGACATACAGTCCGTAGACGCCTCGCAGGCCGTAGACGTACGCATCCACGATCTGGGATCGCAGCGCAGCATCGCCAGTCGTGCTCAACATGGCGTGAACAGCATAAGTACCTCCGTGTGTGCCTGCGGGTGCCAAACCATCGGCCTCGAACTTGAGCAGCATGACGTTCTGGAATGTGGAGCCGCCGACGCCGACTCCGAGTGCCATGCCAAACTGCCGGAAAAAGGCGTACATTGCTGCGGCAATCGCTTCGTCGTCTTTGTCACAGAGGGTTTGCGATGCCATGTTCTGTGCGTTCAAGATGCAGCCATGCCCGAGACCAAGAAGGACGAGCGTCGGCGCCCATACCTTCGTCGGCGTCTCGACGTCCCACAACATCATCAGCCCGGAGGCGATGGTAGCCAGAGTCCAACCAGCCCAGATCGGCCACTGATAGTTGTCGAACACCGTGACGAGTCGACCGGTGAGGATGGATGCCGGCACCAGCGTGAACATGACCGGGAAGAGCGCGACGCCGGTCTGGACCGGAGTAAACCCCTTGACTTCCATAAAGTACAGAGGCACGTAGTAGAGCTGCCCGTACATCTGCGATCGTGATCAGCATGTCATACTACACGCTTGATGCTCTATCACTCTTACCACAAGGCCTTGGATGGCGCCGCAAGCATACGTCGCGATTGCGCTGGCGGTTTGGAAAAGTCGGCGTTGCAAGAACGGGGACACTGCGAAGCGTGACTCGTAGATCACAGTCAGCACCATGCCAACTGCCCCAAGCAACAAAGGTACGAGAGTGCCGGCGCTGCGCCAACTGTAGCGCAAGCCTCCCCAGGAGATAGCCACCAGCGACAAGGTGGCCGAGCCGATGAACAGAGCATTTCCCATCCAGTCAACCTTCTTCAAGTTCTCGTACACCTTACCAGTCCGAGAACCAACGTTGACTAGCCAGGGCACAAGAGCAAGCCCTGCCACGCAGAATGGGAACATGATGTAGAAGACCCAGCGCCATGTTGTGTTCTGGGCAATGACGCCGCCCAGTATGGGGCCAACGCAGTTACCCAGCGCCCATGCTGCCTGGCTGGAGATGGATGACGGGGTCAGCGGAAGAGAAAACGAGTCCGGGAGGGGTTCCTCACACCAGGCCGTACCATGTAGGTCGAAGCGGCAGCGGGACAATGTCGGTGAAGATCAGCAGGCACAAGACGATAATGCCAGCACCGCCGACGCCTTGGAGAGACCGTCCAGCCAACATCAAGGCGATGGAGCGTGACATGCAGCACAAGGTCGTGCCTAGAGTAAAGAAAGCGACCGAGATGGTCAGGCATGGCCGTCGACCAAACACGCGGCTCAGATCCGCAATGAATAACATTAGCACGGCGTTGGCTAGGAGGTACGCCGTTCCTATCCAAAAGCCGTCGTACGTGCTGAGCTCGAGGTCCGCAACGATAGCCTATGACTGTGAGCATGCGATGGATGGAAAAGCATTCGAGAGCATATCGAACCTGCAAAGAGGTCACAATGACGCAGGCGTCAAGGGCGACCATGAGCGACAACAAGGCGGCCGTCGCCATGATGGCCATGTGGCGTCGTGAAGGCTCCCATTTGTCTTGGCCTTGACTGATCTCTTCATCTCCTAGCTCGCCAGGATGAACGGTCTGCGGATTATGGACGAACGGAGGCATATTCAAAGACAAAAGTAGAGTAGTGTGAAAGAATTACGGGCGAAGAGTGACGAAAACTTATCACTGCGCAAATTTCCGGCTTTGGTTCAGAAGGGCTCTACCTTTATATAGCAAGAAGTGGTGTCAAGGCACCCACTCGGAAAGGGACATCGATGATCGTCGGCAAAGACGCTTCTGAAACCCCGACGTCAGGCCCGTCTACAAGGGATGGCTTGTGGCCATAGCGAGAAGTCAGACCAAAGTCTGTTTGCGTTGCGAACGAATGAGAAAAGCAGCTCCTAACCATGTAAACGGCAACATTTGGAGACCTCGACAGTGCCTCCAGAGCAAGTCTTCGACAGCAAGATATGGAGATAGGTTAGCCTGCGGAAATGTATAAGGCCCAACAGGAGATCTAGACAACTGACCGACGCTTCGTCACGCTATGTATCATCAACATGAACGATCATGAGATCTTCCGTCATCTTGCTACATACCCTTTCACCTCCGCAACATTGAAGATGTTGCAATGCGCTTTGCGGGTCATTCAGAAGCGTTACCCGCTCGCCTCTCTTCAAAATGCAGGGGAGGAAGTCTCAGAATACCCGCCGCAGGAAGCTTTCGAGCAAACAGAAGTGCCACTACATGTCACCGGCGAATGGATCAACTTGATGAAGATTGTGGCCGATTCCATCGACACCCCAGAACAAAGAGTGTCGTTGTCGTTGCGACTTTTCGCTAGAGGCGAGCAAGCAGAGGTCGATATGATTGCGGAGTATCTTCGCTTATTACGGCCGGCTTATCCGTCTTTCCACTTTAGTGATCCAGTAATCTTCACGTCTGACGATACAGAAATAGCTGCGAGGCTCTGGACTCTGACGCTACCACGCTCATCTCATGCAATTATGATGGGGCGTGGTTCGCGGCCGTTGCTTACGCAGATTGCGTGCAGCTATATGGAGCACAGGCCGAAAGCAGCTCGAAACTGGGGCAACAGGCCCAAACCTTGTTCCCTGGCCGTACGATCTGTTTCTCCGAGCCACTTGTCACGACGCCGGACAAGGACACCGGAGCATTGATGTTATTGAGCTTGCGAATGCTGGCCGGTGGAGGCGTGCCGACATGTGTGCCGACGCCGCCTCCTTGGAAAATTTGCGAGCACGAATATGCATAGAGCTTTTGACCCAGAACCTGGATGCAAGGGACGCTGATGTTTCCGAGCGGCTTCAGCAAGTGCAACTAGAACACTCTGCCTTTTTCGACGAAGCGTTCATACACGAAGACAATTCGCCGTCGCCAGTCGGCTCCACTTTCACAGCTGACATGGGAAGTGGCATCGGTCCGTCTACGTTCGGTGTCTCTCCCTCGCCATCTCGGCTATTTTCGCCCGTCGGAGAAGGGCCTCCTTCAGCAGGAAGAGGTTCAAGCGAGACTCCTCATACGTCACCCAAATATCCGCACCGTCCAGCGTTGTCTTCGCGTGCGGTTGGTCCCTCTCCGAAGGTGACCAAACTACGTAGCGGCCTTGTTTTTGGCACGAGAATTCATGGAGTTTCACACTCAAAATCACCTCCCATGCCGCCCCCCATGCCAGAGGAATGCAGAGTCATTCTCGGTATGCTCAGCGGGGCCGTGGCCTTTTACCGGAGCTCTCGCCTGTCGGGAGATACCGAACTGGCAGTGATATGGTCTGCTATCAAGAGCGGCTCCAAGAGCGAGTTCTACCGCCGCTACATGGGTTTGCTGTTCTATGAGAAGATGGTCCGCCTCAGCAGCGATCAAGAGGTTGCCCTACGTCTGAAGACCAGCATCACCAAGCGCGAGCTCGGAGAGATGAGGCGTCACCAGTCGGACTTTCAGATCTGGCACGACATTTGTGATTTGCGCCGCGACTGGGGGCCGGGTCGATTTGTGCTTCTTTGTGCGCTGCCAGAGAGCTTCCAGGTAGGGCGAGGAAGCAGAACGGAGCAGCAAGTGCAGCTCAGAAGAGTCTGTAAACGGCTTAAAGATGACCGCGACCCCCTATCGGGATATCTGGACGCTGCTAAAGAGCTGTGTGCTGCTTTAGTTGGCGTAAAACTCCCATGCGAAAGATTGATGATCGATGATTACCACCTCAAGGCATACCAAGACATGTCGGAGCCGGAGTTTGCTTACACATGAGCCTCAGTCCCCGACCAGTCATACCGATATCAAGGTGGGGCCCATTAGTACACGCCATATGTTACCTGTAAGACGAGCCAGTAGTGGCGACGAAGGAAACGCGGATGAGGCGTTCATGAAATCTAGCGTGATCTGCGTTTTGCATGTTCGGTAGCAAGCTTCCTGTACTATAGCTCAATTGATTTGTGCGTAGTCTATACGGGTCCAAGATGCGACATGCCATGAATTCCGGGTCCTTCATCTGTCCGTCCGTGTGTTCGGCTGCGTTTAGTGATATGGCGGCTTTCTGAACCGGCTCCACCTCGCCACACGAACAGTAAAGCAAAAACGACTTTGACAGCATCGCAGTTCGTGCATTGGCACATCCAGAGAGCTCATTGGTGCTTTCTGTAGTTTTCGACGAAACTTACGCAGCAGGACTTCCGAATGTTGGCAGGTCCGCAGAAACCCACAAGCACCTGCGCAAACTCCTCACACATGAACATTCACAGACTACTCTGGGCGCTGCAGAGTGAACTAACATAGTTTTGGTGAGCTCGTACAGTATATATGCGCTCGTTATCTCCAAGTCATGCGGTTCGGCTTCCGTTACTCGTCATCCTTGTTCTTACACCCCTTCCTCTAGTGCCATGATTTCCAAGATCGTCATAGCCCTACATGTTGTCTTGACACTAGTCGTACTCGCAGTAACCGTCAGGACTCTACAGGATGAAGCGAATGAGAAGAAGGGAGTAGTGCAGGTTCTGGTGCGTAACTCATCACGCCGACAACGCGGGACTAACGGCAGCGAAGCTACATGAACAAGCAAAGCGCTTCGTTCAGGTTCCTGACTTGGTCGGGTCCATCGCCACGGCGGTGCAAAGTGCCGCAGCCGGCGTGGTCACTGCCGCGGTCGCATCAGGCGAGTCCTTGGTCGCCGCCAGTCTACCGTCTAGCATATCAGTGGGCACCAAATACGCGTGCGTGGCTTCAGAATGCGCCGCGATTCCTGGCCACGCCTTTCGTCTGATGCAAGACCTGGCCCCGTTTGTCCCTTCGTCCGAGGAGATCGAACAGCTGCAGAAGCTGGTAGATAAATGCCCTAACCTGGAGACCGTTTTGTTCGCCGGGCTCGGCTTGGTTTTGGTGTCGACTACACTGCTACTTGCCGGGCTCAAGTTCAGGCTGCTTCGCTTCGTATCGCTGGGGCTGGACGTTGTCGCCGCCGTCGTCTTCGCGGTGGTCACGGCCTATACGGTCTCTCTCTACAAGACATCTCAGGCTGTGGCAGGCCTGCTTGGAGTCGAAGCGAGCAAGGGAGACGTTTTTGGAGCATCTATCGCAGACTTGACCCTGTGTCTGATTATGACTGCGCTCGCTATCGCGCAGACTGTACTGTAGAAAAGGGATTGAGATGATCGGGGGTTCCGGCGGGTGATGTATGATTTCCCAGTCAAACAGGGCGCTTTTCGCATACAACATCATATAAGAGACGGCGGACAAGGGACGGAAGTAGCCTTCTTGGATGAGCAGAGAGCCAAAACAATCAGATTGCATCGACGGCTCAAAGCTCATTTGGACCAAGCTGAGTGCTTCGTATACATAACAGAATGGCCGCATTCCATTCCTGAATAAATTCATCAAATGTAATGTCGCCATCGTAGGACATGATCCCAGCGCCCCAGAAGATATCCTTAGGACCATCGTCCCGCGGCAATTCTCACACGTCATCTCATCGTTCACAGCCCATTCTCAGGCGTCAGTACGATTATACATGGTCAGCATGAGCGTCCGTGGTGTTGTGTCCCTGAATATCACGATCGTCTTCGTGTCCGGACTGAGCGGGCTGGCGGGCAGACCACTTCATGATATCAGGCAGCTCATGCGCCTCAACACGGACTCTTGTCAGTCGGACGCACCGGATGATCCTCCTATGGTCATCAGCCAGCAGACGTTAGAGGAGACTCTGGCGCGCCTCGGAATCTCTCCTGAAAAGGTGCGATCTAACAGTCGGTCGAGAGGCGGGCTTACGGCTCGTCGGCTGCGATGCCGCAGGATCGGCCATGGAAAGTCCCCGCGATGGCAACCACGTCCCCGATCCGGTGTCCCCGAAGGCCACGACAGCCGGACTGCAACTTGTCATCGATCGCATTGCCTCGAGTATCCAGAGACTTGATCACCAGCTCCGTGTTCTGGGCGACGCACAAGAGCGATTGCGAAAGCTGGCGTTGTTGACGACAGAGGAGGTGGATTGGGATGATCCCGTCACACAAATTCGCTCGGAGGAAGCGCTCTTCGACTGTGAATCGGAGGTAGAGGAGGCGTAGATAGAAAGGTTGCTTGGCTACGATTACCACAGAGTTCACCGTACATTAGCCTTGAGGATTGAATCAAAAAGATGTGCGTGTGTGAGTATGCACCACTAGGGGGAGCGCGCCTGCAGAGATATTCACAGAGGGTGAGCTTTTTGAAGCGTTCACGTGCCCAGAACAATGAGAAGAATCAACACCCTCCATCCTCCTCTATGCAGAACTGTCGTCCAGATGACTTGCGGAGTGGTGGCCACAGGGCTAGTCCTTGATCCGTTGCCGGACCTGTCTACGCCTTTACGAATAGTCTGACATGACGCGACCGTGATGGCATCAGATTAGATGGCCCAGCTAGAATGCCGGCGGCCTTCTGGGTGCTCGGTGGTCTTGAAGGGGCTCACGTCTGTATGTGTTTCATTCTACCGATCCATGATCACATAAGTTTGAGTCGTTGAACCAGAAGGATCCAACCTGACCCCGACTGGACACCGTCACCCTTGACGAGGAACACATCCGGTCAGACGTCATCCTTGCCGATGGTCCAATCCGAGCGAAGACTTGAGACGACCTCGTCACTGGTAGCTGTGTCATTTTTGATATCTCGTCTCAAGCCTCACTTCACAGCTTTTGGGCAGCTATCGTATCGTCGTGGGAAGGCAGGCGTGGATCTTGGTGAGCGCGCCTGTGTGCATTTGCCAGTGTTTGTCGAAAAAACCAGTGCTTGTCGAGAAAGACTATTGTCTTGCTTGTGGGTCCCACGTCCGATCGAATCACCGCCGACAGGTGACAATCTTCTCAGTTCGACGATCGTTGATTGGTGAATGGGTGCTTTCTGAAATGTGGCTTGAGCACTCGAATTTGCGACGGGTAGGTAATGAGCGACCTCAGCTACAGTACGTCCCATTGGTCCCACATCTACTTGGTAGAGGTGACCTTGCTAGTAGTGCAGTCGACCGATCTGACGCAAAATCGCCATACAACGGACAGCGGCAGCTCCAATGGGCCTCTTGCAGCGTTCCCGGCAAGCCAAGAGCGGCTGCAAAGTCTGGTTGCTGATGAGGGCGAAAAAGCTATCGTCCACTATTCCGTCTCAAGCCCAGCCAAGTCCCCAAAGCGCAAGAACTGTCCACTGCGGACTGAAAAGTCGCAACGAGGTGGGCCTTGCTATTTCCACATTGCGCGCTAGGACACAAACGTCTCGCCCAGGAAAACACAATGACATCGAGCGAGCCTCAGGCTAGAGCGGCAATGAGCGGCGAGTCCAAAATGGAGCTTCTCTTGGCCTGTCGAAAAAGCTTCCCTAGTCCCTCCAAGCTGCACCTATGTCGCTTTTTGCTGTAGCCGGCCATCTCGAAGTTGTTTTTCGGCATCTTCAACGTCTTCTCGGGGGCTGGCTGAAGCCGATCTTGCGGTCGATGGCGAGTGTGTGAAGGGGTGTGTTGCTTGAGGATTGAGGATCAAATTGTTCCGTCGATGACTGGTCTGCGCACCTAGTGTCCCTCTCCGTCTTCATGACCCCCAGCAATCCACTCCTCGAGGGCAGCCATTTGGTGCTGAGTCGAACGACGTTGCAAAAGACGCTTCTGGCTCCTCGAACCACCGTGTTGTCCCCGCAAACTCCGAGGGCAAATGCTACCGCGCCGGCGATGCCCCGCCCATAATAGTCCCATTTCTCTGCACCGCAGCCCAGAAATCAAGGCGTCAGCCCAGATCTAGCCTCCCATTATTGCCGCGACCCGATCCGCCTCCGACCCGCGACCGGCCGCGTCTCGCACAAAGTGAACAGGGGAGACAAAGCAACGTCCACGCCGATGCGGCTATGTACGCTCCCGCCTGCCGACTCTACCTCAGTTCCGATGTCAAATTCGATCGTGGAGCGTTGTTTCCCCGAAACCGGCCCGGTCGCTTGACTTGACTAGGTCTGCTGCCGTGGCTGGTTCTCGAGAGCATCCCAAGCACAGCACCTAAAGTGCGATCATTCCCCTCCCACCCCATATTTTCACGATGCCTTCCGGCCCAAGTCCGACTGTGATGCCTCCATACATTGAGCTGACCCATGTGGCTCCTTTTTAGTCGGCGCTACTGACGGGCACGGATGGTGGATGCCATCCCAGTCTTGTGCGGTATCCAAATCAGCTAGTCACACTGGGGGCTCTACGTAGGATCACCTCTGAAGACCGAACGTCGCGACGGGAACCATTTCGCGATCGCGCTATGGATATCCACATGTACAGCATGTCTTTTCGCTCGTTTCCATTTTTCTCCCGCATAATTCAATGTATTAGTCAAGCAGCTAGACGAGTCTTGCAACCATTATGGTCTAGAAACCCTCAAACATCCATTACCAGTTAGAAGAAAGACTAGCCAAATACAAAGTGTCAGACATATCAGCCGGCCGGCTGGTAATCAAGCTCCCGCAGCCACACATTGGTTCGGAGATACTGGCGCAAATCTTCTCTTCTCTGGAACTCGGAAAACAAAGGGTGGTTATCGTCCATCCGGAACCCGCCCGCAAGATCGTAAAGGACGTCCCGCGTTGCATTTGCAGCAGATACTGCGAAACCGGTCAGAAAGCATTCATCATCGAGAACACAGAGCGTACCGAGGACCAACATATCTCCCATGTTTCCAAGTGCGTCGGGCGATGTGCGGCCGAACAAGTTAGACGCTTCGCCCCATAGGCTCGCCGTTAGGTCAGGGCTGCCGACATAAAGCCGCGCTCTTGTGCCAAAATCCTTCACGCGAGTCGGCTCACCGTGTGATCGATTGCTGCCGCCGTGGAGATGCTTGTTGATCAGCCGCTCGGCGTCGGCCGTGCCCAGGACATGTGTCGGGGCGCACGCAGCAATCTGCTCGTCACTGGCACACTCTGGTAGCAGGGTCTGGAGACCGCCGACAGACATTCCCTGTGTCTTTGTGTCCAAGAAGATGGAAATATCGAGGATCTGTTCATGACCAGTCAACCACGTCGATCAACAGGAAAGGCTAGGTCACGATGTACGTACGTAGCCGTTATCTAGCGTGTCGTCATTCAGTATGGGATTCAGGATAGACTCAGCCGCATGCACGATATCTGGTGTAGTCAGTCACAGAGACCGCCTCGTTCTAGCACGTCTTCCTCAACTCACCGAGGTTGGCTACCTGCCAGATAAGGTGGATCTGCCGCGTGCGACCTCTGCAGTGGTTGTATCCGTAGACCAGCTTCTTGAGGTACGGCGCCTGAGCTGCGATTCCATGACCCGTAGCCACCATGAGCACCGCCTCGTAGTCCCACACCGGCACGCTGACGCCGTGCGGGCCGGAAAGAAAGGTCAGCCGTGGCACGGCGCGCTCGTGGAATACCGAACAAGACTGGAAGTGAACCCTCTGCACGGTTCGATAAAAAGATCGACGATGTCCTGTTCCGCCTCGGCCCACGAGGTCACGACGAAGGGGTGGCTCTCCAACAGGCGGACTCTCGGCATCCACACAAGCAAATACTGGCCCGCCTCGAAGGTAAGTGGCCTTGATAGCTGAATCGAGACGCGCACGGCCCCGGCATCATGATTGATGTAGGCTCTGCCAGACGTTCGTCCCATCGCCTTGTTACGGAACGCCATCAGGCTCATTTGTGAAAAGGTTATCAGCGCCGTCACAGCAAGATAGACGTACAGCCAAAGCCATGAGCGACCGGCCATCGACCGCAGATGGAACGCTAGCCCCACCGCTGCCAGACAAGCAAGCGCTTGGTGGGCTCTCAGACAAAGCTCGTAGATACGGCGTCGGAAAAAGGGGAGAAAGGTCATTGTTGCCGCTGCCACCATGGCGATGGATCCCTGCGAGAGTAAGCCGAAGAAACAAAACGTGATCATGGAGATGGCTCGGCTACCGTGACCATGAGGAGCTCGCTGGCACCATCGGAAACTTGGACCGAGAACTTGTCGTCTCCCATGGCGCTGATGATGTGACCCGCAAGGAGAATTGTGGCGACCCGGCCCTGCCACCTGTGAAACACTGCGTAGTGCCGGAGCGGTACGGCGAGTATGTCTGCGGTGAAGTCCAAGCAGGGTCCAGAGAACAGGGGAAGCATGTTGAGGAGGGCCAGGTTCCCGGAGCGGGCGACAAGGGTTGACGGTCGGAAAGTCAGGCAGAACACGTTCACGCCTAGGAGGAGGGTTGGAATGAGCAAGGAAATAGCGTTCCAAGGACCAAGTAGCGAGTGGCGATGAACGAGAAACCGATAGACGAGATACTTCTCCATAAGATGAGCAAGTTGTTTCCGAGCCCGTACTGTGCGGGACAGGGCGTTCAAGAAAGCAAGACCGACAATCATGCCCGCAAGACAGATCGCGTAGGAAGCGGTAAACCAGTCCATGAGCGCTTGTGACTAGGAGAGAGGAGATCCGGGAGGAAAAACAGTAGATAAGTACAGACGAATGATGAATACAGGAAAGGACCGAAGAATCGAAGGACTGAAGTACATAGTCCAGGGAACATTTGCAACGCTATGGAGCATATGAGTGACAGGCATAATTGGCCATCCGTCTTCAGCAGAGCAGGAAACAGCCGGAAGAAGATCATTTTGGCACTGGTGTTGCCCTGTCTCCACATAGATACTCCCGCGGGAAAACCGCTACGCGTGTCAAACTGACGAGACCGAGGAGACACTCGGTATCGCGATGTCTAAGAAGCGGGTGCTGTAGGTCTCGGTCAGTCGCCTGGCTCTCTGGCGCGAACTTCAAACGTAGCTGGTGATACGAACACTCTGCAACTCAGCGACGGACGACGCAGAATCGATCGCGACGAGGAAAGCAAACCCGTCCGAGTCGGGCGCCCAGCGACCGAGGTCGTCGATGCCTGGCGTTTCTTTGCAGTACTTTTGCATGAGGAGTTGAACGACACGGCTGAGAGCCGTGAGATGACGGCGGCTGTGGCCTCTGAGCGGTTGGCAGAGGTGCTGTTCGGCTACACGGTTTCTAACGTCAGATGCCGGAACCCTAAGCGTGTACTGATTGGGAGGTAGGTCAATTACCGATCTTCACCACTCCCGCGTCAGTCATCAGAACGTTCCCTCCATCGATCGAAGTGTGCTCCAGGCCTTCTCCCTCTAAATAGCTGAGACCGTCTATGACCTGGATTGGCGCGGGCGTCAGTCAGATCTTTGATGGCTCAATCGCATCCATCTAGCTCCATTCCTCTGCTTACCTGCCCGACTATGGCACCCAGCTGCGCTTCGTCGGGATAAATCGGACATCTTGCCACATGTAACAGACTGACAGCCGTGGCTTCGAAGACGGCGTGGAAAGATGTGGGCGTGATGTACGCCTGGATAAACTCGACAATGTTGGGGTGACGGAGCATTTTCAGCTTTTCCAGGACCTCTTTCGACTCCGTGCGGGCCAGTTCGCTGATGTGGAACAGTTTTCGATGTCTTGACGCCACTGTCAAAGTACCCCCGAGATCGTTGAGCTCGAATTCGGCCTGGTAGTGCTTCCAGGGTGAGCCCTTTTCGACGTGTGATGGGCGATCCGACATGTTGTCGTGTTTCGGACTGTGTACACCTCTCTCTGGGACCGCCGCCAAAACGCGCTCCTCTTTTTGGTTCTCGGTCTGCTTTGGCAGGTATCTGTCCTGTTTTCCTGCTGCCGTATGAACCGCGAGTCTGGCTCCAGGATCCGACGCAGCGGCATTTGAGGCGTTATAACCATTAGAAAAGATGGCGATCTGGGTCTTTCTGTTGGATTTCATCACGTTTGCTTCGATGTGTTCTACAAACGATCTGGCATCTTCGCAAGTATTTGATGGTGTATTAATATACCCATGGAGAGCAGATTTTGCATTGCGCAACGTGCACGGACGGTCAAGCTCTGAATGAGATGTGACTGCTTCACACAGTCGACAGCTAGTTTGGCTCCCGACGCAGCTTGTAGCTTTGTCCTCAGCCATGTCGGCTGCACAAACAGATGTCTCAAACGTCATCGCCCATTTGACGATCGCCTATGGTGACCAAGATAGGTGGGTTCAATACATACAGTATGCTAATTGTGCAAAGTCATTTCCAGGATTGAATGCAGGGTTTCGATGTAGGTAGAGCCAAGTTGGGCAGAGCTCAACACTGTGCCGCAGAGAAGACTGACAGAGATGTGGAATTCGGCTGAACGTGTATACAGTATTCCCGGCGAAGCCAATATCCATCGTGTTGTTCGACATCTGAGATTTTACATCTGAGCACGGCCAGAAACAGGGCCATGCATATGCTGAATGACTGTACATCTGCTCTTGCCCGAAGGAAACATGACACCAACTTTGATGAACTGGAAAAGGAAGCTAAAGAAGACCAGCTCCTACAACGGCTTCCGAGCCAACATTCCGTCTTGCGACGTAGTCCATCTAGTAAATATTGGTAGACGCCGCACAAAACGCAAGATACAACCAGCCACCAGCCGGTGACGGTTGTAGTAGCTATCGACGTTGCAGACCATTGGCCCCCGTACAGTATAGATGTTGAGGATGGTAGACAGAAACCCGATGAGCGAGTTGACCAACGTCGGACTACAGCTTTGTGAGTGTCGACGCGCGCGGAACTTCGTCAAGCACGGCGTCCTACATTATGATATGTTGATGCACCCAGACGTAGTTTGCACGCCACTTGAACCACAGCCATGCCAGGCCGATGGATGCAACGCCCGAAAGCACAGAGGCAAGAGCAATCAGACAGTCGTTGACCCAGTATGACACCGTCTGCCCAACCTTGCCCATACTTTCGAGAACTTGCGACCTCTTCAGCGAGGCGAACGTGGAAGGAAACACGATGGCCTGCCAACAATAGCCACGAGAAGATCTTTGCCAGCAGAGACCACCACCAGTCTATCTCTTTGTCGTTTTCCAGCAACATCTGATCATATCTAGAGACGGCATAGGTCTTGAAATGCTCCTCGCTATCGTACGCGGGAGGGTAGCGTCGTCGTCTTTCATGCCCGTCAACTACGGCACGTAATGCCGTGAGAGTGCTGAAGAACAGATCAAAGAAAAGGCGAGGCGAATGATAGAAGTAATAAAGAGCGAAATGAAGCTCCCTTGTTCAGAAGAAAAGGGAAGAGAGAAGCGCATGGAGCCTTCGTGTGATCCAAAGAAAGAAAGAGAAAAGAATTAAAAAAAGAAAAAAGAAAAAAAAAACAGAAAGGCGAGCGAAGCGCCTCAAGAGCTCACATGGGCTCCGACCTGTGCCGCCAGACTTTCTCTCCTACCCAGCCGTTCCAGTCTATCCGAAGTCCGCATAAATTCGGCTTCTTAAATTCGTTCATTGTCGGGTCTTGATGTAGGTGATGCCTCCTCGCAAGTTGGCAACGGCACAGACCGTCGAATCAAACTGCTTTGACGGCCTAGAATGCGGTGCAATTCGCCAGATAGTTTGCCCTTCCCTGCTGGATCCGCAACCGGGCCTTCGTAAGCAGCTCCTCCAGCTGGTCGATCAACTCAACGATGCCATGTACGAGACCGACAATGACCCGCCACAGCTGCCGTGCCGCCCTGAGCTTGCGATAGAGTGCGTTGTTCTCCTGCTGCAAGATGTCGGAGACCATATCGTGCTGCTCATCGGCCTGTTTCGTAAGCCTTAGCAACAGGTCATCAAGCTCGAAGGTGTCGGAATAGACGCTTGACGTGCGACGAGGTTCCATCATTGTTGTGGCACCTTTCTGGTTTGGTGACGATCTGATTAAGTACTTTGGGGGCGTCCACATTTAGCTTCAGGGCTGCCAGCATTAAGTAGGCTCAGTTGCCATACTCGTGGATATGGAAAGTTCTTTTGCGATTCGATCGCAAAAACCCTACGGCTGCTGCGGTGCGGCTGCTGTGCTGGCAAAACGCAGATTCATCGCTGTTCGAGGGATGCTTCCCAGCTCCAGTCGCCGTCGGCTATTCACACCGTCACTATTCACCAATCACCCGTCTTCGCCCGATTGGCGGACATGTCGTCAGACACCCACCGATTTGAACTGTTCTGTCGGCGGCCTGCTTCCCTACGACTCGTCGCCGGCGTGGCTGAGCGCATCCTTTCAAGAGTCCTGCCCATCGGTAGCGACATATGGAACATCTCCTCAGATTTGGCGGTCTTCCTACGCCGTCTGCTGCTACGGGCTGATATCAGTGGTGCGGTACTCTGTGGTAGTCTCATCTACCTGGAGCGGGGCCTCCAGCGGCCACAGAACTCTCCAATGACGGAGGCGGATCGGCATTTACGCGTCCTGTCGGCCGTCATTCTGGCTCGGAAATATCTAGAAGATGTCACGTACAGAACGTCATTCTGGACCAGCCTCGCGGCCGAAACATGCTCATTTCATTTTGCAACCGATGATATCAATGTCGCGGAAAGCAAACTTCTGGCAGATATAGCTTGGGACTTGAGTATAGATTACCGGGAGATGCACAGAATGGTAAAGCAGATCCGTGGCTCGAATACTACCCCAGCGCTATTGAGCCACGAGCCCATCTCTACCCAATTCTAGAAGCAGGAGCAATAGCGTGTGACTAGGCTGATCTGATTCGGCCGGAATGTAGATGTCAACTTTACCATCCATGATTTGAGCTGGCTTTTGGCTTATCAATTTGGATTTCGTCCATAACATCGATGATTCCCTATTGAGTTCCTCCTTCAACATCCACAGGCGAAATGCCGGATGGTCAAGATACGTTAGTGAAATGAAACTTTTCCGTCAAAACGCCCGGTAGATGTTGCAATCACAACGAACGCGGGACCTGCAAAATGATCGTCGTCGAGCAAGAAGACGAAACGACCATATGCTCGGACAGTCCGAAGCGACGAACTAGAAGACAAGTTTCAATTCCTGCTTTTGAGAAGCATCGTAGGCTTCTCCAACGGCGGGAATTGGTCTTTGTGTACCGTACCCTTCCGACGGGAGCAATCAGCTCCCAATGCGCCAGAAACACAGCTTCATTTTTGAGAGCCCGTCTCAGCTGCAACGACGGGGATGTGATTCCCAATGCAGTGTTCAACCCCTGTTGGAAGGGTCAAAAGCGGTGCAACGGTTTCCACTGCTACAGCCAGAGTTGCGCTGGTCGTCAAAAAAAGAAGTGGATGAGAAAGATACATTATTAACCCCGAGGCACTAGCGCCCAGATTCAGCGCAGCGCCAGATCTGGTCGTAGCCAAGAAAAGCCTCAGACGATAAAGGCGGACCCGTCTGAGAAGGTGGAGTGGACGATCACATCAAAAAGATGCTCTACTGGATGGTCCCGCCAGATGTTGGCGCCAGATCGGGCCGCACCCACTTACGCCCGGGCCGGAAGCCGCCTGCGGAGCCACTTCCGTCTCCTGCTGCTCTGCAACCGACAGTCCAGATCCAGCACCCCGGTCACTCTACATTTTCCTCGCCCCGTCTGGACCTGGTCTAGACCCCGCCCGCCAAAAGGCAACCGCCGGCCGTTTGTTCATCTGGAAGCCGCAAGTATAATGTTTTCCGCCAGCCCCTGCCACAACGCTCACTAAGCGATGGTCAAGATGCAAGAATAATTGTTTTCCCAAATGCTACAGTATATTGTACTGTACGGTCTGCGTTCAATGGCAGCTAGTTGCTGCAGGAGTTCTGGTGAGCCTGTTGCCGCCTACCGCGGCAGATCCCGCACCGAATCCCTAATGAATCTCAACTTTCGTTGGAAGGCGTAGCTGCACGATATTGTTCATGTCAGAAGCCGCGCCCGATACTACAATCGGACAGTCGTGAGCTCCGTGTCTCAACGTGAAATGATGGGAGACTTCCACCATAACCTCTAGTGGCCATCTGAATGAATCCTCCGCCGATGCGTCGAGTGCTGGCACAGCGGCTTCTTGAATCCTCTTATGGGACATAGTTCTTGATACCAATTTTGCCCCAGCACGGTCATATGGCGGGTGGATAATCTGGTCGTGACATCGCGCGCGCGCACCATCTGCCGTCGCAACTTCCTGACCAACGGGTATACAATATCTCGGGCTGGTCTTTCATGCTCAATCGTTCGAATGAACCCTGACAAGGTGCGCTCTGTGCCAGTGGGAGAAGCTGAGCGAATCGGGCTTGTTCGTTGCTGAATTCCCCTTGTGGATATATGCCCTGATGCGCATCACGTAGTTGGTGTCTGGCTGACTGTCTTCTGGCATGTAGTCTCCAACTTGTAAGTATGTCGTGAACGACATGGCACGCGCTCGGCTGATGTGAATTGACTGCATGAACATGGAGGCTCTGGTACACTCGACCCTCTCAACCAGCTCTTCGCAGGTGCGCAGCCGGCAGCTCTTTCTCACGTAGACACAGAAGCTCGAGCGCGTTGTCCACGACGCCGCTCAAAGGCTATGCGACGAGTTCCTAACCCATTGCGGATGTGGTCAATTCGATATTCCCACGGGATACGGCAGCTACAGGCCTTGAGTCACCAATGAGCACTGCTTCGGAGAAACCCCGTCTTTTTCTGTCAGCCCGGTTCGCCGATGTTAGCGATGAGTGATTTTGCCAAGAGGGCTTGGCAAGCCATTGACAGAGACGCATATAACACTAGTGTGCAGACGGGCCAAAGCACAGGGGTTTTGTCAATGCTGTCACCCGACTTGCCAACCGAGCAGAAAACAGACGCGCGACCGTATGTTGAGGCAGACGCATCCCTCGCTGCTGTGACCGAGACGATAGCGACGGTGCTCGATCTTGTGAACGTACTACATGCTGAAGAGTACGGCTATCCTGGCGGAGATGACGCCATATTCTTTGCTGGCGAGACATCTGGAAGCGTTGCAAGATTGATTGATTTGCGAACGACTGCACCTCAGCTTTCGCCTTGAACGTTCCTTCTCGCTGCCCTATGAATTTTCTCGGGCAACTTCTTGCGTATGTCGTCCTACTCAAGCCTAGGAACTCCGGACGTATCTCCTCGTGTTTGATAGAGCCACCGTCGTCCTGTGCCGAGCAGGACCAGTAACGCAGCTGCCCGCTTGTATTGAGGCACCCGTACACAGCTTGCCGCTGAGCGCCCGAAGATGCTAGCCAGCCAACTTTTACGTACCGTAGACGCATAGGCCTTCTAGTCGGTACTCTATGTGACGGTTTCGGTTGCGCTCTGTGCTTTTTGGGCGGTTGTCGTGAGGATTGCTTTTTGTCGTTCGGTTGTAGTCGGGGATGTTGGTGCTGTTCGGGCCGAGCTGCTGCTTTCGGGACTATGAACTTGTAAGCGCCTGTTCACTATGCGTACACAACACGTACCTGGCCTTGAACATAAGAAAGTCACGTCGTCCCCAGAGTCGTGGCCCAGTGGTGATGTCCTCGTCGTTGCGAATGCTGCGGCTCTTGGCACTGCGTTTGTGGTAGATTCTGGTATGCTCCACGTACTAGGTCTCGAGCCTAGATGTATCACATCGTCGTGGTGGTTCCCATTTGAGCTCAACGCCGTCGTTCTCGTTTCCGATACCATATCCATCGACCAAGTGTCTGTAGTCCAGGCTGATATGACGTTGCAAAGGAGCGCGCCACTCACGGCTGGTGCTTTCGTTGGGATGGTCAGAAAAGCTCGGACCACGTCAGCCATCCACTGCTGGATCAATCAAGGAAGGCGGGATCAAAGTCTCCCTGCCTCCATGCGGTCTGTTTTTGCGGCAATCAAGTCAGTCTGGGACACCCTTCACTTCACGCTGTTTCTGGGCGCACGACTACCCATAGAGCATCCATGTAATTGGCCCAAAGTCAATGACTATATTGCTTGAAAGTTCGAGCAAAGGATCAGCGTGACGGAGTGCCATATTCGCACTGCGCAGGCGAAGCGCAGCGGCACGGACTCGCCTGCAGTGATGCTGCGTTTAAAGAGAAGCCTTAGCCCCAAAAAATCATTCTTCTTAGCTACGCTACGCATATCAATTCAGAGCTACCGTCATGCGTCTCTCTTCTATCAAGGGCACACCCTACCGCTTGAATCTCGGCTGCTTACGGCTTGCGCCCTTGTCCTCGTCGTCGTCATCGTCCCGTCGCCGTTTCTTACGATGATCAGAGGTGCCGAAGCACTGCTCGAGCTTTTGGCTCCGCACCAGCTGCTGCACGGTAAACGGCGAGCCGCTGATGCCGCGACCCTCATCGGCGGTCTCCCATAGGCAAACGGCGAGCGACTCCTGCAGACTGACCACGCGAAACTTCACGTCCAGACGGAATTGACCATCCGGGAAGGCCGCCGGGTATGACGCAAAATCACAAGCTACTTTACGGCCGCCGACGCGGAAATACGCCTTGCCGCTCGCGAGCTGCCGCATCAACGGCGCAGCCGGCAACAAATCTGTCCGCGGCAGTCGTACCCCCCATCGGAGAACAGGTACGGCCGTGAAGCACGCAGCTCAAAGATGAACAGCTCTGCCCTCGCGCACAATCTCAGACGTCTCAGGGCGGGGAGGCCTTCAAAGGTGCACCCATCATCTTCTTCGTCGTCGAAGCTGGACAGGCTGTCCAAAGGTGGCTCGGAGCCGTCGAACTCGACATCGAAGCGGAAGAACTCACCGGATCGACCCACCTTCTTCTGTGCGACGACCCGCTGCCAGTCGTTCTTGTCGCGGTTCCGGAACGCTCGCGCCAGGCGGAAGAGGAAACAATCCCGCCACCCGCCGCTGGGCGAGCTCGAAGAGGAGCCAGTGCCCATCGAGGCTAGAAGGCTTGGGTGTGGCGCTTCAGGGAAAAGGGAGGCCACCTCTTGCAGCGCGATCGAGGACGGGTTGTTGGCCACTAAGCCGCCGTCCTGGAAGGTGCCGAGGCCTTCAGACCAAGGCGAAATAGCTATGGCATTGTTAGCGGCGTTTCGCAGCACCCGGCTGTTTGTTGTTTGCGCCATCCAATTGTAGGATGGCGAAAAGAGAGCGAGACGTGAAGAGGAAGGGAAAGAAAAGAAGAAGGAGAAAAGAGAAAGACGAAAAGGACAAAATGGGGGAGAGAGAAAACAAACAAAAGAAATCAAGAAGGGCTGGCACGGACTACGGAGCAGCGGTTGCACATCGGACACTGCAAACCGGATTAGCCATCTAGTCACCGGAAGCCACAGGCCTCACATAGAATCACGCGGGAAACCACAAACATCTCCCACAAAGCCACGCGGCCCCATCGGCGGTTGCCTTCGGCCCCCATCGGCGGTTGCCTTCAGAGTTCATAATCTATACAGTTCATCAGCATCGGCTCGCGCGCTTCGAATGGCCTCGACGGGGACGGAGACAGGGACGGAGACAGGGACGGAGACGGGGAGGCTACCGCGATCGCCGGCCCGCTGGCCCACTCCGTTGTAGCTGGTGAAGATGCAGGCGCTTGCGTCTTGCACGGTAGCAACCGTCATGCCAACCATGGCACCCATCGTGTCGGCCGCCGAGTAGTCGGCGATGCTTCTGCCGGAGCCGAACATGTCTCGCAGAGCCTTCTCGATGTGCTGCGACGGGTACCTGCTGTCGAATAGAAGCAAGGCTGCGGCACGCACGACTGTGGCAAAAAAGGGGATCCGCATCATCAGTCGTATGAGAGGGCCTATGATGGGAACAGACGGGACCCGGCGAGGCGTGAACGCGTGGTTCGAAAGGGACTCGAAGCGGGCGATGCACTCATCCACCGTCCACCCGTTGATGCAGAGGGCGCCAGCGCTGATGGCACCTGTCGCGATCGGTCAGCCAGAGTCGCCCCATCTGCACCTGCAACAACGACAGCATCCCGCGACATACCTGAGCTCGTCCGAAGACGACGTCAAAGTTCTGCTGTACCGGATGGCCGGGCGGCCCGATGTCGTCTTCGAGCTGCTTCAACACCTTGAGGGTACGCGCGTCCCGCCGCCGTCGATACACAAGACCCGAACCGACGCGGTGTCCGGCTTCACGTATCTGCATGTCAATGTTTTGTCCGCAGAGGATACACTCGGCCACTTCGATGAGCCACGGGTCGGCCGCACTTGCGACGCCAAATACCTCGACACAGTTCAGACAGTGACCGTGGCCGCACGCGGGGAAGACCTGCGGAGCGCGCCGCAGACAAAGGTAGCATGTGCTGTTGGACCGAAGCTGCACCCAGTCCTCCGCGAAGGCGGCGACAAGCTGTCGATGCAGCGACGCTGAGGCTTGGCCCGTCGTCAGCTGCCGGAACATACGGGCCATCTGCCCCTCGACCATCTTGGCGAACTGAGACGGCAGGAGGAAGTCGGTGGACCCTTCGTGCGCGAGGACGGCGGTGCCGCACACGTTGTGGCACACGTCCTTGTAGAACATCTGGAAGACGTCGCGCGGATCGAAGACTGCGGGCCGTCAGTGAGGACAAAAGGTGACGCATGCTCGCGAACGTACGGTGCATGTCCGGAGGGTACTGGTCCAGTATGAAGCTGGAGGCGATGACAGGCACGGCGAATCTCTTCAGGTCGTCGACGGAGTCGCAGTGCGTGAGGAACCCTGCGAGGTGCGCCGGCAGATCGGCCGCCACCGGGTTATCGAGCCGGGAGACGGCGAGGAAGTCGAGGGGCGGCGCGCCGGCACCGCCGGCGTGCTCTGTGGCGTGGCGGAGAAGGCCGGCGAGGTGGGTGGCCGAGAAGAGCAGCTGGCGAGCACGCGCTCGACCCGTTTCGTCTCCGTCATGTGGGACAGCCATTGCTGAGTATGTCCCAACGCAGGGAATCGAGGCGGCGTCGGAGAGACTTAGGTGTCTTGTCGGCCAGGCTGATGACGCGGACGCCGTGGAATCGTTCGGACACGTGGGCGTTTGTCCTCTGGCGGATTGACTGTAGCAGGCGACTTCGTGCGGAATCCTCCTCGTCGCCGTTCACGACGACCACTAACCAGGGCCGCACCGACGATGTGGACGGCGTACTCAGGTCCAGCCACGACGCAAGACGTTGGGCAACGACCTCTACGCCGCCAATATCGTCGGCAAAGAAACACACAGCATCAGCAAACGGGAGAAGCATGCGATTGTAGACATGATCGCCAGCCTCTACCGTCGTGAGCGGCATCGCGGACATCGTCGCGGACGATGCTGTGGACGGCATGGTGGACGTGGTGTTTCCACCGTGAGAGATCGACAGTGGCCTTGCTACGACTTCATGGCAGAGCGTGGATTTCCTCGGCCTCCCGAGCCGCTTATGGGGCGGAACGTCGGCATCGGCAATCAGCGTCGGCCTTGCGCCGGACGCGCCGACAGGAGCCTTGTTAAGGTGGATCTCGCCGTGGCCTCGGGTCGTGTTGGGCCTGGTGATGTCCACACCGAGTCTTTGCAGGGCAACCCGCTTGGCCGCGTTTCCAATCAGCACGAGGATACTCGGGTACTGGCTATCCGGGCGTGGCAGACTGTCCAGCAGACTCTGGGCACGATCCGAGCCTTCGACGACGTACGCCTGGTCTTTGGTGGCCACGCGCAGCCAGCCAGTGTGTTTACAACGGGTCATGTTGCGCACTGGATGAGGGGTCGTCACACCGGGCAGACGAGGCGCGTGTCTGTCTTATAGGCAGCAGCAACTCGGAAGCCAAATGGGCTGGGTAGATGGACTTTGGGCCCGACGACCTGGATGAATCTGTAATCGTCCGCGATCCAATCGCCAATGCTCTGAAGCCATTTGCGTCCCAAACTTCATTCAAAGTCAAGCGAAGGTCCATCCGGCTTCGCAAGCGAGCGTTCCAACACACATGAAGAGCGGGAAGATCGAGTTGGCGCATGCATTCTCTGGCACGACAGCACATACTGTATCTTACAGTACAGTATTCGCCGTCTGTATTTCTATCTCTCCGCCGTTCGGACAGTGGCCCATCCATGCCCCAGTGGTATAACGTACTTCTAATGTGCCAAGACCAGATTCGACCGTCAGATCTCCCATTGCACGCACGTTTCCGACGGCGGACTAGAACCCACGCCCATGCTCGTCAACATGGGAGCAAACGCTGTCGGGGCGCATAATGGCACCATTTCATTCACGTCTGTCCAACAAAAGTTTTGTCGGCCACAGAGGCAGCTGCAGTAGGGCCAGTGGACGTAGCGCCCACTATCCAGGTTCCAAGCCCATAACGGATCATGCATGTGCTCCAAGCCATCTTGCGTCGAAGTCATCGGCACCGGCGATGGATAATCGGTAGAGGTTCCGCTTTCAGGCTGGCTGCTCTCAGGCGACGTGAAGCCGCCGTCAAATGACCAAAACCCATCGTCGCCGCAATCACTTCCGGACACATTTTCCTTCGAGTGATCCTGCAGAGTGGGTGCGCAAGACGGAGGAGGCGGCGATGCGACGCTGATCTTCCATTTGTATGATCCCCCAGCCTTTTTCCCACGACTCGCTCCGCGATCCGATCGGGGCTTACGCGTTGGTTGGAATTCCGTCAACCCTGCCTCCGCGAGCTGCCAGAGGGAGCCTTTGCGTTCCACTCGTTGGAAGGCCTGTGCAACACAGATTACGACTTAGCAGGAAAGACTAGACCGTCACAACGCTGGCGCGACTCGCTAGCATACCTTGTTTACGCTCAGGTTCGAACGAACGCTGTTTTTCCATCCTTCGCCTCCCCTGTGGGCTCTCCTGGTGTTTTGCTCAAACCAGTGGTAGAGTTCGCCTAGTCCCATCGCCTTTTTTTCTGTGCTGTGGAGCGCGATGTAGATGAGTTGCGCGTACGTCATCTTCTGCCCGCCTTCGTCCAACCGCGTGTCGGCCGTCGGCGATGATTCGATGGCGGTGTCAGGAAGGCGTGGGAAGGCCGGGTCCACGCTGGAGCTGTGTTGCGGCGTGCCATTTCGTGCTGGCACTGGTTGCAGCTGGGATTGCCGGCCACTCTGGCCTGCGCTCTCGTCCTCATGAGATGTACGGTTGTGTGGTGGTCGAGGGGATGGAGGAGACATGCATTCTGGAGGAAAGAGGGACGTGCAAAGCGGGTCCATTGCTTGCTGCTTGACGATGGGCAAGCCCTGCTTTCAGATCAAACAGTCGAAGCGTTCGGCTACAGTCGGCACGCCAGTGAGTCCAACAAATTCACTTGTTCGACAAACGTTCGACAAACGCTCTCATTTCGCGCTCTTATTCGTAAGCCATGGCTTGGTGTTTTTCCCAATTGCAGTCTCCCAGTCGCCGGTGGTATGGCATCCAGCGCCAGAATGAGTCCCCCCCAAAAGATGGACGCACTTTCTTCGCCGTGTGCCTACTGCGGATCAGTTGCTGTCAGAGACCCATAAGCAAGAAACCACGACCTGCTACGGATTTGCACCGCTGCACAACGCTACGTTCTGCTCCGTCGGCAGTGGGATCCAGGAGTGTATTCCGCCGCCAAAGACCTGCCCTTACGAGAGCGTTTGGGAGCCATCCGTGCTGAAAAGCCGAATATGGATGTCGTTGTATGGGGCTCGCGGAGTACGCCGCAGCCAGTGGCCGATTGTTGCTTCTACGCTGGTATTGGATGCGTGCTGGAGAAACCCACCCCCTTCCCGGGACCAAGACCGGGCCTCGGCGGGCTCGCCTCCCAAAAAGCTGCAGGGGCCCATTCGACTTCCCTACCGACGGCACTCAGAAAGAACGGCCACCGTCGTACCGGTAGGCGAACGGCCAAAAACGGCTGCGGGGACCTGCTAGGCGGAACGCGGGACGGACTCCGCGCGCATTGCTGCGGGAACATGGCGGGCTTTGGGGTTCGTCAATCACCATTAATCATCCCATCGCACAGCATGCAAGGTACGATCTCAATCTCGACCGCCCACAGGGCTAGCGTCATGGCGCCTGAGGAGCACTGACATTCTCATCGGGTCGTCTTCAACTTCCCTTATCACTCATTTGCTTTCTGTCGCTGGTTTGGTGCCAGAATTGAATTGCGGTAAAGAGACCGCCTGGCGAACCACTCACGAGCGGGGAAGTGGGGCTGCAGCTCTACGTAATCGAAGGAGAGACGGGCGAAATCCAGGTGTTCACTGCACCTGAGAGGCCCATCGGAAGCACCGCCCACCAAAAGGCCCAGAGGTTTGCACGAAGAAAACATCATCACGACATAAGGCCTCGGCGGCAATACGACCTGGGAAACTGCAGCTGGAGCATTGGCAGACTTTTCGATGTATCTTTTGGGACATGCACTATGGCTTCCATCTCTTCAAGGAAATACCGTATTCGATTCATGTACTAAACTCAGCGCTGTGTGAACTACCTCATGACTCGTTGCGCCGCCTTTCGCGTAGCCAGACACCCGTCAAACCCCAACGCCAAACAATGGCAATGTTGCCGTGTACTTCGCCTTTGCGTCGCTTTCCTTTTACAGAAAACTTGCAGCAACATGCCTCAGCAATAACCCCTCATCATGGCTCATCATGGCTCATCATAGCTTCTCATAGCTCATCATAGATTCCTGAAAGATACTGTCCCACTCTCCCCTTTCTCATGACTTGCTGCTATGTGTTGTTGCTACGCCCAGAATAGGCAGGCGGTGGGAAGGGCGGCACGTCGAGAGCCACGTAGGACTGCCGATCGACCTCCACCGTGGTCGTCACAAGCACGCCGTCGCCCGTGTGCTGCGGCCCGGGGCCGCTGTCTCTGCGTATCTGCGTCTTGTGTCGCCTCAGTCTGTCAACGGACCGGGTCCGCTGTCTCTGCGTATCTGCGTCTTGTGTCGCCTCAGTCTGTCAACGGACCGGGTCCACCTTTCGGACTGTCCTTGCTGAAAGCTCCGACGCCGTAGACCGACGTCGGGGCCAGACGCTGACGAGCAGCAGACGCAGACTGGGCAAGCTCGCACACAGCATCGCCGTCGACTGCTCGATGAACGACCACGCCACAATATCGACATGGTCCCACGTCTCGTCGAACGTGGTGCTGTACTCCACCAGGTATCTGACCCGGACCGCCGACGTCACGCACGCGCTGTCTGCCGTGTGAGCCTTCTCCTCCCACCCTTCTGCCGGGACGTGAGACCCAACTCACAATGAACCAATGCTGAACAGCGCGATGACGGCCAAACGTCGCCGGAGAGAAATCTTGAGCCGCCACACGTAGGGGATCGGCAGGAGCAAGATGGCGATGTCCTCCGCCATGGCCAGTCCGCCACTGCTGTAACCCACAGCTTGCAAGTTTAGACATCGGCGGTCGGTGATGGTCCGGTCCCATATCGACTGCACAGGCACGCATTGCGTCGCGAATGGGATGATGAAGAGCGTGCCATGCAGAAGTAGAATAACCTGGAGGCCCTGTGCGATCCTTCGAAAGGTCTCCGACGGGAAAATGCGGCCGAGGAAGAGCACGATCGACAGCTTCACGGCGGCTTGAAGGACGGTGTAGATCAAGTTTCCGACGTACAGCATCTGACTCGACGTTAGGACGGGATACCACGATTCGCAAACATCCGGCGGGCCCTTATCACCGAACCTTTCTGATAACGACCCCATTACCAACCGGTATCGTCCAGTAGTGCATGCCGAAGCCGATGCTTGTAATGTGCAGATAGACCGCGGCCAAGGCGATGAGGAGTGCCTGACAGACGACGTCAGAAAGGATTTCGTGGAGAGTTGGGGTGGGGTACCGCCGCAAGGATGGCCATGTAGTCGTCCCTCCATAGACCACCCGCATACTGCTTGCTCGTGAAAAGACGAAGCGTCACGATAAACAGCACAAGACTGCAGCTGATGATGAGCGTCCGTCGGACTTCCGTCCTCCGCGATGGTTTGGGGTACCCTTCGCACAGGGCCCCCTCTACCGTCGCTGCAGCTTCAGAAGGTCAGATGGGCTTCCAGAGAGGAAACAGCGGGGCGAACTTAGTTGATCGTCAAACGGGCAGTTCGTCTGCACACATGTCGAAAGCTCCGACTGGACAGCAATGTCGAGACAGATGCACGCGGTCACGTCTTCTGGATCGCAGGCCGACGTGATGAATGTGCTGCTGATGCACTCCGACTAGATGGTGGATGCTTTAGTGCGACGAAAGCCTGGCTGATGCCACAATCACTCACAGCGCACGAGGGGACCTGCGAGAGGATCTCGAGGGCCGACGCTGCATTCACGGCGGCGACAGCAAGCTGGAGGGCCAGCACTGCGAGAGTCCATGATCGATGAGACATCGCATATGAGACGTCGATGAAAAGCGCGGAGATGCTGACACAGACTTTGGCGGTGGTGCCACCGGTGTTTCGACGCCGGCCGACCTGGCATGCTGTAGCTGGAGGTCATTCCGCTGCGGGAGAGATTCAATGAAATAGACGGGGTGTGTATGGTTCGAGAAGGCACTTCTGGTTCTGATCGTAGTACAGTCAACAAAACTTGCTTCCTGCGCCGAGGCGCCAATGACAAGAAGCCACTTACGCCGCTGTTGGGCAGTTTGCGGACGGATTCCTCGACTTATCTTTCCGGTCTTTCGCTACGAGTTTCGCAGCATCATTGGGCTCGTCACTTGATGCTTCGTGCTTTGCAACCTGACTTAAAGGTGAGGGAGGTGATCTCCGGCTCCATGCAAGCCATCACCAGCAACACCAATGCATCGCACATGCCACAGCCTCAAGGGCGGTATCTTCGTTGCGCGGTACAGAACACAGGGCATTGGCATACAGAACACTCTCTGGACGTTTGGGAGATACCGGGGTAGGTCATTTCTTGACACGCAAACGACATGGAAGGAATATGAAGGAATATGAAAGTTTCCAAGGATAGTTATGAGGGAATTATTGAATGACACATGCCCATGCGTAATGAACTCGGCAACTACTCTGTATCTACTCTATATCGCTATCGTCTTCTTCTGCGCCAGGCCCATAGCTTTCGTCTGAGACGTCTGAATCACCATAATCGTCGTCTAACTTCCTTCCTTCCGACAGGTCTGAGTTTTCGTCAGATTCAGCGCCAGACATGTCAGAACGGTAAGGCTCGTCGCCCTCGCCGTCAAACAGGTCCTCGTCCACGTCACACATTGAGTGCCCCCCTGACTCCAGCTCGTCGTCGCTGGGCGTATCGAGAAACAGCTCGGCCGCATCTGCAGAGCTCATCTGGAAGACGGCCCGTGTCCGGTGCATGGTCGCCTCGTGAGTGTCGGGAAACAAGATCCGTACGCAGCAGTACATGTATAGCATCTTTCTCGACACCGAATCATCGCAGAGATCGAAAGTCGCTGGCAAAGTCCCGGGGTGAACGGTGTCTTCAGGCGCATGGATTTCCCAAATCCGCGCCGAGAACATCAAAACCTGTTCGAGCACTTTGATGGTGATGAGCATGTTTCCAAAGTCAAAATTCAGTGCCTTGTCAAACTCGAACAACAAGTTGGTTCTGTTGTCCGACGGGCCATCGTCGTGTTCCTCGGGCGCTTCGCGGACTTTCAGGCACGCGAGAAGCGCCGCGACCTTGACGACGAACTCTTTGCCTTGTAGCGGCCCACACAGGCAGCTTATGATGTAGGCGATAAACCGATCTCCCGCGGTGCTGTTCATGTCTTCTCTGACTCTGTTCAGCGGCGGATACCACGTGTCGTCGGTCAGTCCGTTGTGAGGGCAATTGACCGCCAGGCAGATGGCGAGGCAGCATCGCTCATCTTGTCTAAGCAGGTTGGTCCTAACTACCATTAGCAGGATGCCTATGTGACAATGTGAGAGTGCGCCGCTCACCACATGGAATCCATGATCTCTTCCAGCGCGTCTGGGGTGACTCGGTAGCCCAGCTCATGTCATCGCCAATGGAGAGATTTATATCGTTCGAACCATGGCTCTAGACTGCCTTTGTTTTTGGACAAGACACATTGTGCTCTTCGTACGTGTAAGCTCGTTACGACATCCGATACCGCCTTCTGAGAAGCGAGGCTCTACGCAACCGGGTTTTGCAGAAGCCACCAACGGCTCGACGGTCAGCGTTTGAATGGCCGTTTTTGCAAAGTATCTGCAACGACGCCGGGGCCATAGAGATAGCCTCAAAGTTGATAATTGTGCTGTAGAGTCCATACATACCCGCGGCATCCATGCGTGGAGTGTGCTATATCAAGGCGAGATCATCTCCTGGCTCACGCCCCTGTGAAAGCTCTTGTTCTTTGCTCATCGAGTTGGCGACGAAAGCAGCCCGAAAAAGACCAGACAACCTTGCCAAGCTTACATACAAAAATCATATCTCGTCTACATATGGCGTCAGTTTCGCGGTTGGCAAACGCAGTGTCCATCCTCACATAAGGTGATCCATGTCACGTACTTCTTTCGGCAACCCATCAGCACTCCACCTCATTTCGATGGCAATCCGACATGGCGGCCAGACCTTTGAAGCGCCCTCGCCGATCAAACGGTCTGCCGCGCCTACCAAGCGACATAGACAACGCAGTCGCGGCCCTGGGCGGGAGAACCCACGCAACCGACCTCGCAAACAGCACCATACAGTCTCAGAAGGCACCAGTCAGTAAGGAACAACGTCTGGAAGAACTCGTGAGAGACTCCGGCCGCCTCAGGCAAGAACTTGACTATTGGAAAAGCTTGGCTCTCACAGGAACCGCCTTCATGTCCGACATCGAACAAGTTGTGGTACAGCTGCGAGATGTTTGCAGCCGTTTCGAGAGCGTTATGAATGAAACAAACACTATGTCTGTGGAGGATAGATTCCATCCGTCCGAATATCGACAGAGGGAGGACGTGGAGGTGCAAGCTGGAGACGAACCAGACTCGCCATTAGTAGAGGATGACCTTGACGTGCTCTTGGCCCCCATCAGGCGGGGTCGAGAAGGCTATGACTTTGAGGCCGTCAAGCCAGAGTTGAAGCGGAAGCAGCCACCATACAATCCCGGAAGTTGGCTCTGATAGGAAGCGCACATGGCCTGTACCGGAATTCGCCGGGTCCATCTTCATCCTGTGATGTCATAAAGAGGAATAGAGAGTTCGTGCCCATGCATACAACTGTACATATCACCGCTGTCATTCACGTGAATCACCTCTGTCATCAAGAGTTATAAGGGTGCTACGCTGCTGTTGGGCATGGCTCAAGCCCTTCAACGTCGTCGTCTGGAGGCGTCGTACGCGATCCGTCTCTAATAACGTCTGATCTCCAACGCCTGAAAGGCGTTGTGAACCTCTTTCCCGTGGCTCGCTTCCATCTCTGACAAGCCATGCAAATGGACAATCCAGATACTGTACGTAGACTACTGCTTGCTTTCTTAGGAGAACAAAACGGCTCATTCGTGTAGCACCCGTATCTCGTTGATGCAAATGTATTGGAAATCAAGTCTCTTCAATCCTGTAACTGTTCCAAGACTGACTGATCCGGTATGCTCTTGGTCCCATATCTGACTGCGAGACGCTCCAGAATCGTCACCAACCTACCAGAAGAGATACTTCACCGATGAGCCGAAAATGCCCTTCTTACCCAGTTCGCGCGATCAACACCATCATTTCTGATTGCCGGCTAAAATAAGCCCCACGGCGATGCAACAACGAGATGGACACACTACCACGCACCGCACACCTTTTTAGTATATCATATATAAGGGCGACCTCTAACCACGGTCTAGCAAAGCTCAGCTCCGACTTGCCGCTCACATTATTCTCCAATGCCCAGGTCAGCGAAGGAAGTACTCGATTATGTCATGAACATCTTCTTCAAGGACAACACATGGCATGAAACAGCCGCTAAACTCAAGGCCAATCCCATTTTCTTTGGATCTGACCTCGAGCGACTTGCGCTTGGTGAAGACTGCCACGAGCTTCATCTCGCAGCTGCATCCATGGATTGGGTTGGAGATCTCCAATACGAAGCCAAGGTGGCCGAGTCGCTGAAACGGCCTCGGTTCAAAAGCTCTGGAGACCTTTTGCGCCACCAGGGCCCGAGCCAGCGGTTCACGTTGAACATTCAGGAGGACAGCGATGATATGGACTACCATACCACAGTTCGAGATTATGGCAGCCTGCTCTGCCAGAAGAGTGACGAATTGACAACTTGCGTACTATATTACAATAAGGGCCAGGGGTTTCTGGAGTATTTCTACATTCCGCGCCACCGGCTGCCTTGGAAGAAACGATACACAATACCTTTGCAGCACTCGTTGTCAGGGTATGACTCGAGGCCTCTCGAATGGGTTGTGGCTGAAGATGTGAACATAAAATAGCATTGAGATGTATCATCGCAGTGCTGGCTGGCACGCGAGTTTCTGCTGGAACCAGCCACGCACGGCACCTACCGCTATCCCTGCAGTAATTGATTGGGTTCTTGCACTGGGTCCTTGTACGGAGTTGTTGCATGTGAACGGGGAGTAAGGGCTGTGAATTAATAGAGACATGCGTCCTAGAGAATTCAATCATATAAATTGAACATTGACTTGCATGGCTGTACCACATGTCCACTGCCGAGCGAGATGAACTAATAATCCGACAACATATGCAAGCTTATTGAGACCGATGTCAAGGGCAGAACACCAACCGGCTGCGTATTTGCCCTGAACCGTTCGGACGTCCTTGTTGGCGTTGTTTGTCAACGTAGCAAACGGGGAGGATCCGATGGTAACCACTAAGAACCAGATACCCTTGTGCTTTCATGTCAGCAAATAGAAACGCCATAAGAAAGGTCTTTGCAGCTGCCTGGCCCGCGCAGAGACTCAAGGCTGTCCCCTAATCAGGCGCCCAATCAGTCGTGCCGCCTTAGACAAAGCGATAGTGTATTGACTGCTTCCTTCTCGGAATGGAAGGCGATATCTGGGCAACGAAGCCTGTTTGTTTGACATTATACATTGATCACCTATTGTAACAGGGGCTAACAGCACGGGATCACCCCGGCCAGCCCTCTCATCCAGAAGCGGCTGTGATGCAGCATAACCGCCAGGAAGCCCCGCAGCCAGTTGCGACCCAGATCGCGCTCCAGATGTGGGTGAGCGTCGTTTCTTGCGCACGCGTCAACTACTCCCCTGACTCCGACGCTCGTCTTCGTGTTGGCAGAGCTTCACACTCTTCTAGCCACTGGTCAGGTATGCACCCTCTCATCGCCTACGGCGATTCCGCTTCGCCGACCCGAACCCTTGTCCGACACGCCGACTTGCAAGTTGGCACAAAACCAACAGCCATCTCCACGGCCGTGACGCCATTGACGACCAGTACTCGGTACTACCTGCGCAAGTTTAGCATGCCTGATTTGACGAAGATCAACAGGTGCGCAGTTTGAACCATCGACATATATAGTGCGGCAATCTCCTCAGTCACGTACTTCACATCCTGCTCCAGCACAGCCAAACACTCAGCAACATACTCGGCAAACCCTCCGATAGCAATGCCTTCTCGAATCTCAATAGAGTATCTTTTGACGCCCACTGCGGCCACGCCAACACTTGATCGCGAGACGGAGGCTATGCAAGAAGATATCGTCGGACCGCATACCCCGCCCGCTGCTGCTATGTCACCATCAATAGATTTCCAGCGCCAGCAAGCAGACATAGAATCGTACTCTGACACCAGAGGCCATGCCACGTCGGCGTGCTCGTTATTATCGCCTGCAAGGCTGACGTCCTCTGGGGAACCGACCCTCGACGACATTATCTCAGTATTTACACAGCAGTCTCTAGGCCTCACCTCCTTGAGTATGGCCCTCCAGGAACAGATGTTCAGCGGTTACTACAACGCGGGCTCCGCTGGCCTTTTGGCCCAGATTTGCCCCATCTGTTTGCATATTACGTTCATGAAGTGAGTCTCTCCGAATGCTGTGAAGTAGTGAGTGGTCGCTGATTGACCCAAGTCCGTGTTTTCTACGATCCATGTGCGGTCAAACATGCTTCGAGGTCCTTGGCTCAGCAGTCTACAATTCAGCCTTCCTTTATGCGGCTCACGGTTGCTACTATGGATGGTATGCTGGGTGCGGAACCTGTGTATGCAAGCCAGTGGAGCATCGCATACCGAGCGACTCTTATACGGAGAGCTCACATCTCCAAACCGGGCTCACTGATGGATACCTGACAAATGCGGCTGACTCTTCTCACGCTATCTACGATGGGCCGCTCTCCCCATCGGTTTATGATCTTGACGGCCAGCCCATCTCGCAACAGGGCTTTGTTCTTGGGAACGTCGACGACGGAGGTGTTTTTGGGGAGAGCGTTAGACCTACTACTCTTCCAGTATCGGTCTTCCCCGAGCAGATAACCGCGTGGAAAGATTGAGAGGCCCCATCTTTCGCATTTGATTTCTGTTCATGTCCGGTCCTCCGCGGCATTGTATCATAGCTGGTGGCATTTCGAATTTAGCATAGGATGAATGCAGAGAAAGACTTGAGTTATGCGCGAGCGCGGATGCAGAAAGCCCATCTGTTCCACGTCAGAGCCACCGAATGGACTATACCGACGTGATCTCTAGGCTATGAGCCCGCAGGTCGTGGTGTTCTTCATCTACATGTAGTACTCAGATTCAAATTACATCACGAATCGGGAACAGGGTCACTTTTCCACGATCGGCCTGTAAAATGCATTATCAGGTGGTTCTCACTTTCATTCTGATCACAGGATTTACGTTCTTCTCCACATTCTTCTTGATCAATACAAGCCTCTTGTTCCACATCCTTTAACCATTGGTGCCTACCACAGCTCGTGACAACATGACAACATGACACCAATGATTGCACTAACGTCCCCATCCTCTATCCGCGCGTCCACGACGGATAAACTGAAGAGGCTCCACAGCCAGCGTACTGGCTTCAGTGGAGCCTTCCCGTTCTGTCATCTCGTCCGCTTCTTTAATGGTGCATGTATCGACACTGCGACTGGAACCATCCTGCTCAATCTTTGTTCCGGCAGGTTTCTTAAGACGCTTTGTTCGACGTTTCTTGTTGCAGAATACGGCGTTTGAAGCCTGGCGAGCCCCTGCCGCCGATTGACGAGATGACGGTCGGTCGCTGTTGGCGGTGTGGGGTTGGATTTGCTTCGTCCGTCCCTTCGAGACAAGCGGGGGGCGGAACGTCACTTGGGGGCCAGTCTTGGGAGGCGCCGGTCGAGGTCGCTCCATGTGGGGCGACATGGAAGAAACCCATTCACTCACGACGTCGAATGAACGCAAAGACTCTGGGGACATTTTAGTTGGCTGACAATGCCTCGGAAGTGCAAATACTGTCTTCGGACAGTGTCTCGATGGAACGTTGGAACACTACATTTCGACTCATATGTACAGTACGTAGCTGCAAATATTGTTTTGGGACCTCGCGGCAAAGCTGCTGCTGGAACGGTGGATCTTTGCATCCCCCAGAAGCTGCTCTTCAATCTGGGGTGTGTTGCACCGTGATCAAAAGGGAGCTCGTTCTGGATTTGACAGCGCACCCCTGGTCGTGTCAGAGCCAGATCGGCGACCCCAGAACCACTTCAGGCAGCGCACCATATCTGGTCGCTCCACGTAACGGCACAAGTTGATCGATGGCCCAGAGCGCCAGAACCTCATCCGACCTAGTTTTCTACCATTGAGTCTACATCTGTCGGCCGCAAACCAACAAGCGGCGTGACTGAATCCGCTTTTCGCCGTCCTCGTCCGGTCCACTCATTGTGTCGGTGGCCACTCCCAAGGCCTGGCGCGCACTGGCAAGTCTCGTCATGCTCGGCCATCAATTGGCCGTAACTGAAGAGGTCCTCTTCTGCTTCCCACGTCGGACAGGCGTAGCCATCCCACTTGACGGCGTACAGGTTGACGCCATCGTCCGTCTCGTAGCAGCCTACGATACACTGAAGACGGGGCGCCCAAGTCGTGTTGCATGGTCGGGGCCGCTCGACGCATTCTTGCCATACCTTGACGTACTCTCCGTCTTCGAAGACCCACAAAAGTTGATAATCACCCAGCCAATCCCACTCGAGGGAGTCACGGATCCCCACGACCACACCGTAGAACATGTGAGCGCCACTTGTGGCGGTGCAGATGACTTCAACTACCTCAAGGCACGAGGACCAGGCTGCGTGGACCGTCGAACCTCGCCGCACTGTCATTTTGACGGTAATATCTTTGCGTGAGGTGGTTCAATGTGCATACAGTCTCCTTAGGGAACCGAGCCTCTCGGAGATTGAAGATGAGATAGCTGGGTTGTAGGCATTAGCCATCGTCAGATGGTCTGAATTTATACAGCTACGTAGGCGGATACACGTTCGCCGATGTTTCAGTACGTGGCCGTATCTGCATGTGGTAAGTTTCCGCAGTCGAAAATGTCTTCTCTCTTCACCGGCGAAGCCTCTAGTTCAGGCCTCCAGTCGGAAACACTGGCAACATCGTGGCTGCGGTGGCGATATCTACCTGCAACATTGCGATACTACATTTGCGCAGACCTGGCAAAAGCACAATCACACTGTCTTGTATGTTTGTACATAAGGTTGCATTGCATAATGCAATTGGATAAATAGTTTGATGAGTGGCAGAAAAGCCGCCTTAACTGGCTTTGCTGTCACGATACATCTTCCCAACAGCTCGACCCTCATACGAACCGACATATCTCCTTTACAGTTGAAATCCCCTCTTAGTATCCTGGCCAGCGCTTTCAAGAAGCCCTAAGAGTTCTCTCCGGATATGCTTGTCTTGAGATGGAACACCCACCCTCAACACCGCCTTCTCGCTGCCATCGAATTCCACCAAAACGACAGCAGTCCATTTGTTCTTGGTAATCTCCTGCATCAGCGCAGCTACAGCAGCAACGGGCACGGTCGTGCTACATTCATCGTCGGGTTTCTGCCCAAGGTCACTGGACTCTCCCCTTGTGTCTGGTGTGTTCGGTGCCGTCCAGTCATCCTCGGATGTGTCGTCAGGCGTAGCGGGGTCGGTATTGTCTTTCTCGTGTCAGCAGATGCCATTGACGATACGTACGTTACTGTACCGTAGAGGAACATACAAGTATTGACACGAGCCCTTTTTCCACTACGTTTCTGTCTCACGACTTCAACGGCTTTCTGTCTTTTCTCGAGCTCATTTTCATCGCGGAAAGACCACTCGAAGAGCTGTGTTGTCAAGTGGTCCAAAGGCGAAATGCCTGTATTGAGCGTGGATTCCATATCGTCTGAAACAGTCAGCCAGCCTGTGAGCGTGCTTCTGGAAGTGATGAAGCTAGTGTGCACGTATGGCTCAGCAAAGACGGCGGGCTCTATAATTTATACTTCTGCGCGGATGGAGGATACTTGATTCTAATCGTACTAAATGCTAATTATTCGGGACGATGAGTTGCCTACTGAGCAATGTAACCTCTCCTTCCATCAGGGATGTGATGCCTCGTCTATGACTGGCAGCTATTCAGCTTATCACTGGCTTCGCCTACCAATTACCTCCCTCCCTGGTACCATTTCTCTTGGGTTGGCGTCCCGCCTCTCTCCCCTTACCATCTCGCCCCACCATACTAACACCACCTCCGCATGGCGCTCTTTCTTTCTGATCGGAAAACCCCTGCGATGACCGGACCTGGCCTACTCTCCTTCGCATTTCGCAGCATGTTCAAGACGCCCGTCTTCGTCAGACTCACACCATCCTTCAGCATCTCCGTGACGAGACGCACAATCACGCCCGGCGACTCTTGCAAAAACCGTGATGCGGCAACGTCGCCACTCCGAGACGCTGCCCAGAAACAGTGCGAATACAACACGTGGAATATCTTCAACAGCTTAGGCTCTCGCGTCAACAGGCTGATCACACTCCAGTGGTCTTGTGCGTCCGCAAGACGCGCCAGCTTGTCGATAATGTCGCACAACACGGCATCGTCTATCTTGGCACCACGCCGCAGCAAGATCGACGCCATCACGGGGTTGCCGTGACATGTGGAAAGTGCCCAGTCGAGACTCGTCGAACCGTGCGAGTCGCGCTTGTCGATGTCTACGAAGCCCGAAGAAAGCAGCATCTCGGCCTCCCAACGGCGCCGCTCTCGAGCCAGCTTCAGCAAGAGGGGCCCTGTCCAGTTGCAGCGTGCCGATATGCAAACCGCTTGGTTTGGGTCAGCGCCTGACTTGAGGAGGAGGTCGATGAGCCGGTCCTTCGCCGATGCCGTCCTGCCATCCGTTTCTTTGACCCGAGCCAGGAGCGCTAGCTCGAGCGGCTTTTGGTCGAATATACGAAGCGCCGGGTCGGCCCCCTCGACCAAGCCGTCCAGCTCGCCCGTGGCGTCTGCTCCAGCCTTCAACAGTGCCAGGGCGGCGGAGAACATGCCGTCCTCGCACGCCATGCTGAGGGCCGTCATGCGCCATGTGTCGATCGTCGTAGGCTGGTTTACGTCGACGCCGAACTGTGCCAGCTGACCGATGACCGTTTCTGGCGACGGAGACAACAGGGAGTGAATCAGCGGCGTGTCCCCGTTGTTGTCGGCCTCGTTCACTTCCATCCCTTTCTCGTCGACAAGGTACGTGATCACTTCGGTGAGCCCGGCGGCGGCGGCTTGGTGGAGGGCGTTAATTCCAAACTCGGAAGACTCAAGCCGTGCGCCGCGCCGAAGGAGAATCATGGACGTCTTGGCGTCCCCGCTGAGAAGAGATAGAAAGACGGGAGTACGTAGCCGGCAGTCCGGGACCCCATCGATGTCGGCACCGTGGTCAAGGAGAAACGACACAATGTCAGCATAGCCTTTGGAAGCCGCCAGATATAGGGCCGTAACGAGGAACGGGCTGTATCGATGGCTCTCGGTCATGTACATGGTGGCCGGCCTGTTGTAGTCAGCGCCGGCTCGGAAGGTATGCCGGAGCGTGGCTAGGGCCACCCGTGTATCTCTACAGTTGGCAATGGTGTTGAAAACGGCGGAGTATTTTCCCGTTTTCACATCGTTTCGGTAAAGCTTGGGGTTGAAGAACGAATGCCAAGTGCGGGAGCATTGTGCGAATACGGACTGGTCATGGGGTTCGCTGTGATTGAAGACATGCCACGCCACGTCTAGGGATTTCGGCTCTGGGAGAAAAGACTTCATGGCGAGTGACGTCTGTCGTACTGAGCGACACGATGTGACCTGCGACAAAAGCACGGCATAGCAAGAACACGAGGCAGTCACGCTGTTGCTGTAGGCTTGCCGGCCTCATATCCAATACAAGATTTCAGACTTCATCTCATGGGACAGCGCTTTACGCCAGAAGCATCTCATGCATACACTGCAGATCCGGAATTGGCCATCTCGTTCAAAAAAGGTCCTGAGTTCTGCTATTCAGGCGCTACGGTGCTTCTTTTGGTTATGAAAAAGGCATCTCATTCATCTCCAGGTGGACAGTACTGTCCTTCGCGAGCGGTCTCTGGCTTTTCTGGACACAAGTTAAAGACAGCTTCAGGATATCGGGCTATTAGAAAGGGTTCTTATGGCTCCGGTCTGGGTGGACGAGGAGAGCGCGCGTACAAATGGTGTTCACGTCGCCTTTGGACGCCTAGTCCTCGCAAGACCGATGGATACCAAATAGGCCTTCACCATCCAGTATTGTGCACATGTTGCTCCCTCTCTCGCAAACCATCTCAATGTTTGAGAAGCCGGAAACTGGGATAATGGACCTCCGCAAACCTTTGGTAATGGCTGTAACGACTGGTTTGCAAACAAAAGTGTGGGTCAAGATAGTAAACGACAGTGTGAGTGGCAGCGCGTCATCAAGAGCTCCTTGTAAATATCCATAATCGACTTCCACAGTAGCCATATTCTCCTGTTACAGATGACAGTGGCTTGTACACAGGAGAGATGATGTTGAGCCTAGTGTGTGTGGGTCAAGTTCAAACTGATCAAGTGTGTTTTATGTACAGTACAAACAGTTTTGATCATAAGCCACTTCCTCCATCGCAAACACTCTCAATGTTTGAGAAGCCGAAAGTTGCTGTGATGGGCCTCCGCAAACCTCTGGCAATGGCTGTAGCGGTTGGTTCGCAAACCAGTTGTGGCATCGGGATGGTGTACGACAGTGCGAGGGGCACCGCGTCATCAAGAGCTACTTCAAGGTATTAATAACCGGCCTTAACAGCAGTCGCTCTCGCACTTCTGATCGTGGTCGCATGTACACAGTAAGTAAGACTATAGGCCTAACCTGTGTGGGTCAAGTCCAAAATGATGAAGCGAGTTTCCAAAAGGAAGCAACATATGATCAATAGTGTACAGTAGAAATGGAAGTCGGTTTCCTTCTTTGCGGGCAGGAATTGATCTGGGCACAGATGTTTGTGGATCCATATGCTGATAGGGTACATGACAGGGCCCTGACGATACCTTCTTGATGCCCCCCGTAGCCGAAGTCAGAATTGCTCTCACACTGTGTTCATGGATTAGGCCCACGTTACATAATCCAACATCCACAAACGGCGATAACAAGTGAAGTCTCTGCAGTGCGCAACATGGGTCTGAACTGAGAACACAGTAAAGAGGCAATTTCTATCGATGAATGTACTCAGTGGGTCTCGTTTTGTATGTATTATATCAGCAAAGGGATCCACATATGTCTGTGCGCACAACGCTTCCTATCCGCAGAGACAACCAAATTCTATTTACTGTACCACCTAATTCTACCACCTAGTTCTACCACCTGGTTCTACCACCCAAACTGGTTCTACCACCTGGTTCTACCACCTGGTTCTACCACCTGGTTCTACCACCTGGTTCTACCACCTGGTTCCACCACCTAGTTCCACCACCTAGTTCTACCACCTGGTTCTACCAAATTGGTTCTATCACCTGGTTCTGCCACCTGGTTCTGCTGGTTCTTGCACCTGATGCCACCACCTAGTTCTACCACCTGGTTCTACCACCCAAACTGGTTCTACCACCTGGTTCTACCACCTGGTTCTACCACCTGGTTCTACCAAATTGGTTCTATCACTTGGTTCTACCACCTGGTTCTACCACCCAAACTGGTTCTACCACCTGGTTCTACCACCTGGTTCTACCAATCTGGTTCTATCACCTGGTTCTACCACCTGGTTCTACCAAATTGGTTCTATCACCTGAAAGCTATAATCAATCAGTGACAAAACTCATGAGCACAGTCCTCCCTCCAGCACTGCTTTCTTTACAGTATCAGTACGAGATTCTATTTTATCATGCTCGTATCTATGTGATCTGCTTGCAACAATAAGATACGGTCAAGTCCCTTTTCTACAACCTCCTTGTAGCAGTCCATTACTAGCAGTGGCTGCTTTCCTGCGGTAATTGGCAGAACTTTCTGTTTAAACATAGCCTCTTGCAAAAGTAGTTGAAACCGAAGATCTTCTTTCGGGTTTTGAGTGTCAAGAAAGACATACTCTTCTCTTTTTGCCTCTTTGGTGATGAATTCAAGTGTGACTTTTCGTGCTGGAGACTTTCTTGTAGGAGGGTCTGTATGCTGACTGGATGAGGTTGCTTGATTGCTTGTTCTTGATTCTTGGTGGTGGCCTACTTCTGGTGAGTAGCGACCAGAGGAAAGCCGCTCATCATCAACTGTGTCACTATCAGATGAAGCGATTGGCACCTGCAGATTGTCTCGGCGAGGAGTACCGAAGAACGCCAAATGTATGGATCTGCAGATGAATAGGCCAGCAAGTCTCCCGCCTCCCGTACTCAGTTGCTTGTCCATGATGTCAACAAACATCGACTCAGCGGCGTCCGTATAATATATCTGATTTAGCCACGGCCGAGAATCGTATTTCGAACTATAGGCATCGGTGAAAAACTCGGGTGATTCCTGAGCTGAATCATTTTGCTGAAGGTCTGGGAACGTATGGGCAATTTTGTCGGCCACGGCTTGGAAGCTTAGAACATCGTAAATATAGTCTTTTGGTGGCCGAGCCATTGTCAATGCTTGCTGTGCAACCTCCAAATCTGGAGACATAGACTTCAGACAACGAATATCGTTCGTATCGAACCCCAGTTCCGATGCCAGACTCGCCAGCCTGGGAAGTAAGCTTGGATTCGTTTCCATCTGTCGGAAATTTCTCATCGTCGAAAGCCATAACTGCCGCATTCCAAGCTGGAGACGAGCGTCTACCTCAACAGGTCGGTAGGAGAAAGTCATGTCGGACTCCTCAATTGGATACAGGTTTTCGTCTCTCATCGAATGCTTGAAGGCCCTCGTCAATGCAGTCCTCACAGTGTGTCCATCCTGAGGTATAGCAACCAAACGCTTCATCCACTTTGCGCACAATTCAAGGTACTTGACGTCGTTGAAAAATGTTGTCAGTGATGGAATCGTAGAGTCAATGGAACAAAGGTTCTTCCAAATGACGATTCGCTCAGATTTGTCGAAAAGCCTAAAGACACGACCGTCCAGAACTGCGTTCCGAAGCAATCTTTCATCCTCTGCTGAAAATCTAGGGCACCGGAGCTCTACAGACTGGACAGTGAATGTATCAATCTTTCCGAGATTTGCCTCATTATCCCCGGCAAGATGCAGCCATGTGTAGTATATGTGCTCTAGGTAACTCACAACTTCCTATGACCGATCAGTATAGGTTTTGCTCTGGTGGGGGGAGTGCGCAGACCTCGTCGCATTTGAGGGCGATGAGTTTGTTAAGGTTGCCGATGACCAGGCCCGATCGCAAACCCGGGATCCGTGACAAATGGTTGAAGGCGTTGTAAAATGCTTGGTGTTTAGCTATCTGCCTAACACATCTCCTCTTATGGTCCGATAAAGAGGACTCTAGTCGATGCACGACTCGGTGATCATTGCACTTTTTGCTGCGGAGTATTTCCCAAAAAGCATCACGATCTGTGAGGTCGTCCTCAAAACGTCTCTTGTTGTTGATCATCGAATCAGTCATGACGCTTCATGACGCTGGACGTTGAATGTGGAAACTCAGTTTAAATTCCCTTTTGTATGTACTCACTAGATAAACCGGAGCCGGTCCTGGATTTGTGCATTCTCTCCAATCATACCACTAAGCCGGCCTCCCGACATCATTATCGTGCTTCCAGATCCACGTATCCAGCAGCTTGCGCCACCATCCACGGCCGTGTTTGTGTGTACACCAGGGTTTTCACCCCGTCTAAGCCGCATACGGCTCTATCTTCTGTCTGATCCTTTTCAAACACTAGGAGACAGTCTACGTCTACTCATCGGGGGCAGCAGACCAGGGTCAAACGGATACTTGCCACACTAGGCTAGCGTCCTGACAAACATGAGGTTGAATAAGTCTCGCGGAGCGAGCCGGGGGGTGATTGAGTACACTTCTGGCTTTTGAGCGTACAGTACTCCGTAGGTTCAACCATGATAAGATTTAGCCGAGACACATGTGGCCTTGTTACATACCGACAGAACGAAATTGCTTGGATTTATGTACCAATGTCCCCGCTGAGCCCACTACATAACTGAAAGGCAAACTGTTCAGTCAGAAAGCGAATCCCAAGCTACTACATCAGCGAACCGTGGCACATCGGCTACGTAACTCGGTAAAAGTATGTACTGCGACAACCCAGCCAAACTGGACTGGCCTCTATTATCATTTGTTTAGATTGCTCTCAAAAGAATATTCAGCGAGTTCAATGCTACTACAGTAACGGGCCTATTGACCCCGGATAAGATCGTCTGGACACAAGACTATGCTGCAGCAGTCACAGTCTGAGCGTCACAGCTCCAGAGAGTTGGGTTGATGGTTGATATGTATAACAGATGGATTGTAATGACCCGTAGTATCGGGTCTAGATACGTCCACACAAGGCGTAACGCGAAGAAGAGAAAACTGAAATCGCACTGTGCCAGCGGCGCGCCGCCGCAAGCAAAGGGGTCATGGCTTCGCCAAGACTCCTGACACCACCCTGGCACGCGATCTCGTGACACGCGGAACTCAACTTATGGTCCAGAATCTGCTATTACGTACCAACGTGCTCCTGACTGTCTTACATCTTTGACCTTGGCCGAAATCGCAATAGCTGTTCACTGTTCGAGCTGGGCCGGGTAACATGGGCCTGCAGCGGAGGTTAGCGTTAAGACTGACCCCGCCTCCACGCTATCGTTTCCTTGCTTTCCACTGAAGACACAGGCAGCAATGCCGAAATGGTGTTCAAGGCCCTCAGCGAACATATGTAGTCTCCCGTGTACATATGGCCTATGAAAAGCCGACAACTGTCGTGAAAATGATACATAAAGTATCATTGGTACAATGGTATACTAATGACATACCAAATTTGAGGGCTTCGATCGTAACGGGTCTAGGATATTGGACCCGAGGCTCCTGAGGAATGATTTGGGTTCATGTTAACGGTCTAGTAGCGGCTGGTGGGACATTGAAATTTGTCGTGTCTGCACAGAAATCTTTGCCATGGATCACGTGACTTGCACATGGACCTATCCACACTTCTAGATATGAGCCTTCAGGAGGCCTGGAATTTCATTACTGGCAAATCTACTACTGTACGGACCTCGCGTTCAGCGTAGGACATTTCTCATTGGGTGCCGCATGGCAGTACTTGTGTCACCAGCCTGCTTCCATTCTGTTTCCAGGTTATGCTCCTTGAACAAGGTTACATCTCTTGACATGATGGCGACCGAAGACCGGGAAGTGAGTAATCAAGTCCACCGCCTGCCGAGAATGGCCCATGGTGTGCCGGGCTCCATACCGCCTGCCTGACTGAATGAATGTCCGTGCTTGATCCGGGAGCTCACACCACCTTCCTACATAACCGCGCAGGAGCCCCACCGTCACCACTTACCACCTTCCTATCCAAGGTATCAGTCTTCGTGAAGCCCTGCTCTCGGCTCGACACCGCCTTCCTGAAATCGTACCGTTCAGGTAGCGACTCCACCGTAAATCTCACTGTTTGCTCACGAGATCATACACCCGAGTCGACCAGTCTCACCGCCCAGTGCTGAACCTGGCGCTTGTTCACCGCCCACGGATCGAGCGAGTACCCGTAAGGGGCTTTCTACACCACTTACCGAATTGCCCTCAGGAGCTGTGCTCTGGCCGCCCACGCCCTCTTCACTTTTCAGCCAAGAGGATTGACCCCCCAAGCAGCTTTTGTCTGACCTTTTGACGACAAACCCTTGTCCAGACCTACTACCCTGAAGGACTTGCTGATCTATTCACCGCCTACTAGAAATGAATCATCGTCTCAGCCGCTGCTCTGTGGCATACCCAACCGCCTAAAACCTGCTGATAGTCTCTCAATAATTCTTAACAATGCAGTTGTTCCTCTCCTGCCTGTTGCCCCTACACTGCACCCCACCTTACACTACGCGTATTGCAAAGCCCTTATGCAACTCCTCATAAGCGGCATGCTGACAGGTTCCGTGCTCTTTGCGCAATGTTTCCAGACTAGAGATGCACTCAGCTGCGCATGTCGCTGTTCTTCCGCAATAACACTTGATTAGCTTGATTTATCAGGTTGGCTGTAGCTGAAGGCCCCGGATCCCGATGGCATCACCAAACTGGCATTTCGGATGGGGAGAAAATGGTGTCGGGGCACGACTGTCAGGCAGGGGTCAATCGAATGTATTGATGAAGATGAAGAATGAGTGACTATCGGTATATACCGACTATCTTGATAGTGGACTGAAGACCCCGGATGCCGGCATATTCTTGGCGAACTTCGTCATGCTTGTGTAAGACCGTAGTGTCCCCTAAGCAAGTGTGACAATCGTTGTAACGAGTGCACTGGCATAGGCCTGACAAATGGATTGCACTACACCTCGTGCGCACATCCTTCAACTCGGCCATTGTCCGAAACACCTCAGGAAGGTTTGAAAAAGCCAGATGAAGGAACTAAACAGCGCACAAAATATACAGGCCTGACAACACTCTTCAACACGGTTGAAAATATCGTGGATACCGCAACAGCACAAAGACTGAGCTACCCTGCCGAAACACACGGGCTGCTCCCAGATGGTCACATGCGGGAGTGAACACGCACTGCATCGATCGTGTACAAGATGAATATACGAAGCCTGGGGCTCAAGGAAAACGCAGCATGCCTCTTTCCCCCGGTCGCGCTAAGCGCCCTCTATGGTCTTTCGCCCAGCTAACTCCTACCCAATACGGGGAATGGACGTACTGACGAAGTGGCGGTGCGTTGAAAAGCCAGTTCTTTTGGATGCCGAGATCAACTTGGACGGACCCCGATCCGAAACATCCAGAATCAACACCAGCATGCCCCAAGGATCGCCTTTATCGCCGATAGCCCACCTTTCCTACCACCAACGCCCACTGCCTCTGCCGGAGAGGACGACAAACGAGATGGCATATCATGCTGCCATGCGGCAGGATTAAAAAGCTCCGGCGCCAGAGAATCGAAGCGCTTCCAGGAAGACACATCTTCTGGATCATACTGAACAAGCGCAAAGCAGCCAGCAAGACAGTCCGATCCAGACAGACCGACACCCTTAGGCAGCACGTGATCGAGCGACAACCGCACAAAGCTGAGCATTGGGGGAGACTGAGGTAGGTGGAACCGTCACACGAGGAACAAGACTTCAAAAGGGCCTAAATGTATATGTATTTAAATGAGCAGAGAACCGCCAAATACACTTGGTGGCTGCCAGGGATAGATGTGGCTGGAGAGCAATATGGAAACTTTGGAAAACATCTGGTCAAGGCCTGGTATTGGGGACTTCGGGTGCCACGGATTAACAGTCGGAACGCGTCGGCCGCTGGGCGAGCCCCGCTATCCGGGTATAGTTGCTGACATAAAGGCGGCTGATTAGATAAACCAGTCTTTGAACAACATGGCGTGCCTTGCTCGAACCCCGCATAGCCTGACCAACCTCATCATAGCTTCCATAGGCAAGAAAGTGAAACGAATGGCCGCGTCCAAGACTCTCCTTAAGGAGATTGCAGAGTAAAAATCTTGGACATATTGCCAACCCAGGATGAGAACTGACTATGGCATACAAGGCTTTTCAATAAATCAGACCATGCTGACGTCAAAATTCGTATCGGCGAGTTCGAGTTGCCGGCCCACGGCTTAGTCCTAGCGGCTCACAGCCCATACTTCAAGAAAGCCCTCAAGGGCAACTTCCAAGAAAGCGAGAGCAAGACGTTTCAATTCCTCGAAGGAAGTGCACATGCGTACTGGAGAGTCTTCGAGTTTATGTACACCAACAATTATTCCGAAGAAGTCGAATCAATCGAAGCGCAAGGTGGCTACTCAGTACTTCGAACCTAGACCAGTGCTAATCTTTGCACAGATGATGCCGATGAACTGACGAAGCACGTGCAAGTCTTTGTCTTGGCAGATTTCTTCTTGATGCCAGAACTGAAGAGGTTTGCCGTCGAAAGACTCAAACCAAAGCTTGAAGAGCTTTGGGTGAGCGAATCTTTCGTAGGCTGTATCAGAGAGACGTACGAATCAACCAACCATTCGGGTCAACAGATCAGGGATGCTGTCCTTCGAGTCGTTAAGATAAACCTTGACAGCCTGTGGTCGAAAAAGACATTTCGTGATCTAGTATATGAAGGAGGTGATTTTCCAGGCGATCTTGTGGGACCATTCGTGAACCGCTCAAATAGCAAGAGCAGTGTGAAGCAGGATGAATTCGAAGAAGCTAACTCTTCGTTCTAGCCGTCACGAAATAGGATGAGCGATATATTTTTGATTCGATCTATGTTTCGACTTTATGTATGGATATTCGATGCTCACCCCCACGGTTTCTGCGACAATTGTCATGAACGAGAATATCTTTGTGATAGTATTTGAATTGTCTCTTTTTTAAGTCGACTATCAATTCTTATCCCTCCCGCAAGTCAATTGTGATATTCGTTGCCCAGTCCATGCTCCTGTGGCGGCGAGACATCACGCTGTGACATGTGCCCAGGCACGCATTTGAAGTGACGCGATACCGAAGTGACCTTATTCCATCTGCCTTACAATGTGTTATCGCATGGGTCGAGGGGTCATGACACGCCGCCGTCAACGCTCGTAGTTTGATCCTGCGAGTGCACGTGATGTCTAAGGGCATCAAACACTGCATTCTGTCATGCCTTCGTCCGATGCGTTCGGATTTGAGAGAAATGCCTGCGTGTGTAGAGGTCTGCTGGGTAATCCTTTGAATAGCGCTCATGTGTCAAGTCGTCAACACAAAATTGCTGTAAGGGACATGGCATACGCTCATGATACAGTCCCGTGAATGTCGCGGGCATGACGCTGAAAATGCATCTTTTCGTCGAGAGTCATGTCGCAAACCTTGCAGTCTACCTGATCGCAGTCTGCAATTTTGTCAAGGTGCTTCCGTTTGAAATGTTTGGTCAAGTCATTGGAGGTGTAGAACTCATGCATAAGTTCGTTCAACCGCTGTTCGTCATCTGTAGGCAGACACAAGGCTTGGCCAATACATACGAAGCATCGTCTTGGCCGCTCTTCCTTGTCAGCAACAAATACGGACAGTGTAGCTTCGTATAAAGGGGTGCTCTCTCGTGGCTGGCCTGACGGAGGAGGAAGTGGGCCCTCTGCTGGCCTATGCTGAGACCGTCGCACCGTACATCCTTCTTGAACAAGACAGTACGCAGACACCGCTTCGATGGCATCGTCTCTTCGACGGTACTGCCCTTCCAGTGTCGTGACAACTGGGGCTGTGAGCTTGGCGAGCAATCGCTTTTGTGCTTGTCCTTGAGGGCGAGAGGGATCCATTGTTACCGCTTTGGCAAACCCAACGCCGCGAATTTGGCGCTCGATGTCGTCTGTGGCTTGCTGGTCAGTCCATTCGTCCCTGATTTGCTGTTTCAGATCTCTCCTTAGTCTCTCCTTTTCTTTGCGCATCATCCGTTTGGCTTCTTTATATTCTTTGGAGCCCAGAGGCAGTTTCGGAATAGCTTTCGTAAGTGCTCTTATGGTTGGATGCGTCGCAACAGAGGCAGACTGCTCTGCCGTCAGATCGATTGGACGACGCTGCGAGATGGAGTGGCCAACGCTGCAAGACTGCTTGAGAAGTGCCTGCTGTGGCTTCTGTCCACGGACGATACCCCAGAGATCAGCAGAGATGTTGCGCCCAAGATAGTGCCTCTGAAAAGGGTCGGAATTGCCGTGTCCCATGGCCAAATTTCTCAGAGCCTCGCTCACGTCGACTGTAATGATAGTTAGTGCAGTCATCACAGGAAATTACGCATGACAGACCACTCTGGTCAAACGCATTGGCAGCGTTGTAGCGCAGATTGTAGGCTATCGTAGGGTCCTTGAGCCCCATAATTTCGCCGATTCTCTTGACCCAGGCTGCCATCATGCCATAAGATATGCGTTGATTACGGGACATCTGATAACCCGTCAAAGTCTCGACAGCTCGACGAAAAATGAAGGTCTGGTTGAGGTCCTCCCTCAACGGCAAGGGAAGCTCTTTCTCGCCAGGATGTATGTCAAGGCTTTGAAGGTGATGCGGCGAGGTAAGACTTGGTGCACGGAAAGCTCGGTGACGGAAAATGATGCCCAGGAGAAAGACGTGGGGGCTTAAGAGCAAGGACGGATCAAACATGGTTTCGGGGATCGTGTATGTTTTCCTGAGACATTAGTAAACCGCGGCGATTGCACTAGACTGAGAGCATACCCACTGTTCCTTTTCGCCGAGGTAGGTTTTGGTGAATTCAGGAGTGAGCCGAAGAAGAAGCTTGTGTGGCCCGCCCTCTGGATCCCTTGCCAAAGCGACCCGAATGTCCTTGAATCGTAGGTTGAGCGTCGCCGTTGGCCGAGAACCAGCAGGGGCAAGCAGGAGGAGAAAGAGTACGGCGAGGATGCGCAGTTCCCCAAGCTTGAAGGACTTCTTTGTTGTGCTAAGCGTAGTCTCATTCTGCTGCATAAGGTCTTCAATCACCATACAGCGATTGGCTCGCCGCTGTTCGTTCATACCGTGCCTCTTCGATAAGCGTCGCAGGACCTGGGCTGGTCAGTTGTAGGACTGGCTTAGGTCCGGGAGAGTTACCTTCCCTGTGCATGCTGCGGTTCAGCTTTGGATCAAGCTTGTCGCCCACGGCTCTCTCGTAGACGAGCCGAAAGACCTTCCAGTATGTTCCCAGCGAACTTTTCTTCTTGATTCCACGTTTCCTCCTGCCGTCCTTGCCGATCTTTTGGTTGAGTAACCAATCGAAGAAGGTATACATGATGCTGGTGGAGATGGTCGCGTAACACTGTTGAACGTCGCGCTTGATGACAGCGCAGAATCTGTGCGTAAACGTGTCAGCAAACAGAGCGCGCAAAGAACTGAGAAGAGCGCACTGATGCCATTGTCCCTCGACGGCATCGAGGAGCACCGTCGTCCCCAGACTGTAGTCCTGACAGGCGAAGGAATCCTCGTTGAAGCTTTCTAGCTCGCGCAGCCAGTATTCAGATGGATGCACATTCCCGTCAAAGAGCTTCATCTGGTCTTCCATATCGTAATCCTCGTCTTCGGAAAGGATTCCGTCGTCGTCGTCGTCATCGTCTTCTCCATCGTATAGGGTTTTGACGCCGTCGCCATCATGGAAAGCTTCGACTTCGATTGGCAGAGTGTCTGAGCCAGCTCGCTGATCGCTGGCGTGAGAGACCCCATTGGATACGCCACAGCCATCTTTGTCGAGGGAGAAAGAGGCATCGGAGTCGCGAGTAATTGTATTTCGCCGTCGTCGCGGTGACATTCTGGAAATGAAAGGGAACTAAGTGCTGTTAGATCGGAGGGGGGGAATAGACTCAACGAACATGAAGAAACCGCGGTGCTAATGCACTCGAAGGGAACATCTGCCTGAACCAAGCGGCGATGGCGATTTATATAGTATGAGGAGGGAGCCATTGTTCGAGAAATAGCGGCTGTTTTTGGCTGTTTGGAGCAATTCGGGAAACAAACTATGGAGAGCGGAAATCGTGAACGAGAAAAGAGAAAGCAGCTCGACGTTGCTGGTAGTGTGGCTGAGGTACCTTGGGTTGTACCCCGCGGTACATGACATGGTATGGGACTGGCCCGTGGCGCTTGGTGGGGCAGAAGACTGCGAGTAAAGCGGCGACGGGTTGGTGGCAGATGTCCCACTGATTTCGGCGACAGAATCTGCCTAAAATGGCGGCAAACAAGCCGTCTCTTTCTTTAAAGGAGTAAATAGCTTTTTTAAAATTATATTTATAAATTATAAAATAAATAAGGCTTTAGTAATTAATTATAGTTTTATTAAAAGGGGTTTTTAATAAAAATAGTTAAAAGTAATTATAAAATTTAATACTAAATTAATTACTAAAAAAACTATAAAAGTTTATCTTTAAGCTTAGTTTAAATTTATACTATATATAAGTCTCGTTCTTAAATATATTTTTTATAATATTATTATTTATAATTACTTAACTATTTATTAAACGGTCGTCCGTTTTATTTATATACGATTATTTATTTTATTTTTTTATAAGTATTTATTTTTTATTTTATTATATAATTATAATTATATAACTTATTTATAGTTTTTTCGTCCTAAGAGGAGTTACTTTGAGTTCGTATTTTTATATATATAGTATAATAACCGCTATAGGTCCTATAGGGCAGGCCCTGGCCTTTATTATACGTATTAGGTCGTAATATTAACGAATTAAAATACGAAGTTAAATAAATTATTAATTATAAAGTTAGGAACAAAATACGAGAATTCCTAATTAAATAGAAAAATTACGGATATAAGGAAAATATATAAGAACTTATTATAAACTTTTAAAACTCTTAATAACTTTTTAAAAGTCTAAAATGTCTAAAATTAAAATTAAACTTAAAACTCCTAATTATTATAGTATCTTAGTTAATAATTTTAAAAATATCGTTAGCTTATACTTCGTGGGCCGTTAATAAAGCCTTTTAATATTTTTAAAAACTTATTTAATATAATATAGCTCTTTTTAAAACTATTTACTTTTAAATATAGAAACGTTCTAATTTAGATAATAACTTATTTAATTCTACTTAAGCTTTTAATAAGTATTAGCCTTTTTATAACTCCGTAGTTTTTTTAAAAATATAACTCTTTTACTTATTTTTACGATTTAGTTAATTAGATTTTATTACTAAATAATTAATTATACTATTAACTAAATAATAAATATAAAAATAATAAATACTTACGAATATAAATAGTATTAATAAAAGTATTATATAATATACCTAGCTAATAGTATATACTATAAACTTTAAAATTAAAAAAACTAAATACTAAATACTATACGAGTAATAATTTAAATAAAGTATTATTTTTATACTTTTATTAAAAAAAAAATAATGTAGTAATTAATAATAAGTAGCTATTTAAGATTTCGATTTTTAATTTAACCTAATATTATATTAATATATTTTTAATAAAAATAAACTTAATAATTCCTAACTTAGGAACGAGCGACTTATTTATAAACTTAGAGGACTAAACCTTTAAAAAAGAGTTAATATTATAATTTAATATATATAATAAGGCTAGGGCCTACTTTATAAAACTTATAATAATTACTATATTATATATATAAGAATACGAACTTAGGTAACTCCTCTTAGGACAAAAGAACTATAAATAAGTTATATAATTATAATTATATAATAAAATAAAAACGGATATTTATAAAAAATAGGATAAACGATTATATATAAATAAAATAAATGACTATTTAATAAATAGTTAGGTAATTATAAATAGTAATATTATAAAAATATATTTAAAAATAAGATTTATATATAGTATAGATTTAAGCTAAGTTTAAAAATAAATTTTTATAGCTTTTTAATAATTAACTTAGTATTAAATTTTATAATTATTTTTAATTATTTTTATTAAGAACCTTTTAATAAGATTATAATTAATTACTAAAGCCTTATTTATTTTATAATTTATAAATATAGTTTTAAAAACTATTTATAACTACGATACTATTTACTTAGTATTCGTAGCCTTAACTTTTATTAATATACTTATTACGACTAGCTAGCCGTAATAAAGGTATTATTATTAGATCGGATTAGTTAAAAATAAAGTATAAAATAGTAGCGTAATATACTAAATAATAACGGCTCGTTAGCTTAGGGTAGAGAGTATTAATAGAGATAACTATTAGAAGTCGAGTAGTAAAGTACTTAGTATTTAGTTTAGTAATATAATTACTATTTAAAAAATTAAAAAGTTAAAAAGTCGGCTATAGTATATGACTTTAAAAGGTTGTTAGTAAAGTGGTAGTGGGCGGGCGGGCCGCTATGAGAAGACGGCTATGCTTTTGCTAGTAATCGCTCCTGGTAAATCACTGTAATGGCCAGAGGCCGTATCGATAAATATACTCCGTACATAAGGTAAGGTATCCTCCCCTTTCAACTCAGGAACGGCAAGTAAAGATATAATCCCCGAGGTACCAAGTAGCTTACCTCAGCGAAGGCCCGCTGTGAGAACGGGCGCAGGTGCCGCCTGCCCCTCCGGCGTGTGCCGTCACTTTGTCCAAGGACTGCCCCGCGTTCAACGGCGTGCCCCGCCATCCAGTCGCGCTCTCTGCGCCAGTCGCAGCTCCGACATAGGCCAACGTGGTGGTGGCCCGCGGTGATGAGTGACGACTGCTGCCGCACACTAAGACGGCGGGGTTCCAATCCACCACACAAAATTTCCGCCCTCTCTCTCTTCCAGTCTTGGCCCGGTCTTTGACTCACCGCAGAATCGAACAAGTGTAGTCACCCCCCTACGGACAGCTTCCGCGATAACCAAGAACAAAGTCGCGCAGACTTCGACTTTTATCATTACCCGAGTCCCAGACCATTGACTCGAAATCACGCTCGCTTTCCAGGCCTCAACCACTCCTCGGAACACCTCGCACCGACCTCTGTTGTGTGACCCAAAAATCACCCCGCCGCTGTCGCTGCAGAAATTCTCGTCGCCATTGGCTTCACTGCGACCTTGTGCTCCAATCCACACACGCGCCCGACCCGACCGTTTCCACCTAACCTCTTGAAGCGTTTCAACTCTGGGAGCGACTTCTCTCCACCTATTGTATTCCCGTCTGTCGATCGCGTCATTGTAGCATACCTTTTGCCTACCATGGATTTGGTCAACCAGTTGGTTTTTACCCCTCCATCACAACCGCCATGGACCATTTCGCAGAGAAGCTAATGACGAAGCAAAGCCTAGAGGGCCGCCTTCTGTTCGCCGTGCCCAAGAGTGAGTCAACCCGTAATCTTCATCTCAAAAGGCGCACATGCTGACAATGTCTACTTTCCACAGAGGGCCGCTTGAACTCCGCTACGCTCAACCTGCTTGAGGGAGCCGATATCCAGTTCCGCCGCGAGAACCGCCTCGACATCGCCCTCGTCAAGAACCTCCCCATCGCCCTCATCTTCCTGCCCGCCGCCGATATCCCCACATTTGTCGGCGAGGGCCGCGTCGACCTTGGTATCACGGGCTGGGACCAGGTCAAGGAGCACGATGCCGGCGTCATCAGCAGCAACAAGGCCCGGAGAGCCTCCGTCGAGCTGAACGCCGAGGGCGAGGAGCTCCAAAAGGTCGGAGGCTGCGAGATGGTCATGGAGCTCGGCTTCGGCCACTGCAAGCTGCAGACCCAGGTCCCAGAGAAGGGCCCCTACGCGACGACCCAGGACCTGGTTGGCAAGACCATTGGCACCAGCTTCGTCAACCTGGCGGCAGAGCACTTTGCCAAGCTGGAGCTGGGCGTCGACGCCGACGGCAACAGCAACACCTCGCCCAAGAAGCTCTGCACCAAGATTATCGACCTCAGTGGAAGTGTCGAGGCTGCTTGTGCGCTGGGTGTCGCTGATGGCATCGTTGACCTTGTTGGTAAGTAGTCGTCCTAGAATGGCCAGCATCCGAACAATCACTGATACCCGCGTCCAGAGTCTGGTGAGACCATGAGAGCCGCCGGCCTCAAGGCCATTGACACCGTCGTCGACTCTCAAGCCTGCCTCATCAAGTCTCGGTCGCCGTCAAACACCGAGCTGATCGAGCTCATCGCCGCCCGTATCCGCGGTGTCATTACCGCTCAGAGATTCGTCCTGTGCCAGTACAACATTGAGAGGTCACGTCTGGTCGAGGCCAAGCAGATTACCCCTGGAAAGCGGGCGCCGACCATCACAACGCTGGACGAGGAGGGATGGGTCGCTGTCAGCTCAATGGTCGAGAAGAAGAAGATTGCGCTGGTGATGGACGATTTGACCCGCGTTGGCGCTCAGGACATTTTGGTGCTCGATATCCACAACACTCGATAGATTTTGCAGTCTTTTGGAAAGGAAAAATAGATGAATACCACGAAATATGTAATGCTTCTGCAATAATGTCAGCAAGAATGCAAGAATCGTCCAATATGTCGCAATTGAAGGAACGGCAAGTGTTCCAAAGAACAAGACGTGACCGAAAGCGAAGATGAAGCGGAAGCTGGGTGAAATGTTCGTCCATCTCCGACACAGCTGTGAGCATTTGTGGCTGGGGTGACAATTTTTTCGATGGTACGTATGGCATTGAGGCGCCGACATTTCTTGCGTCGCTAGCGTTGCATTTCGAGGCTCTGCACTCTTGCTCGGCCTCATCGACCGGCCCCTCCTTCTGTGGATGCAGGGCTGAATCAGAATGAGCAGAGCCACGCACTGGGCACCCCTGATCAACAAAGCTCTAGGGTCTTTGGCGGGCTCGGGTCCTCGGGCCCGCACGAGCGAATTGGATACCGATCGATGCTCTGCGTGAGTTATGTGTTTCGGGGCCTAATTTTTTTTTTCTCACTGCAATCCTTTAGCTTGTGTTGAGAGAGAGGTGTGATGTGATGTCTTGCTGATCAGTGACCCCCCAATGCGCGCCAAGTGGAGACCTTCCGTCACTCCCGTATCCCGACCGCAGTGCGCGCGAGGTGAGGTACCCATAAGGCGAGGCGTACCACCTGGCAACCGAAACCGAGGCGGTGGTAAATTTAGGCCCAGTACCTACGGATAGTGGCAGCACGGCGGCGGTGCTGCCCGCCCGCGCCGAAGCTACCGATGATCAGGTACCTTACCTTACCTCACCTTACTGACATATTTCTATCTCCGCACGCCGCCGTCTTTGACATTCCTCCCTTTTTCTGAATTCTTGATTTTAACCTCATCTCTGGAAAGACAGGTCGCCGGCAGATTGCCAGAAAGCCGACTCCAAGCTTCATAAGTCATTCTCAGCTAGACGTCCATCGTCCACGGACTCTGCAAAGTATTTTAGCCATCGAGGGGGCACAATGTCGTCATCAACAACAGCCACCAAAGTCACTGCCACGCGAGGCGGCAGTGACGCTGGAGCCGTCCAGCAGTCTACCATTTACAAGGTAAGCTCCCCACGAACTCAATTTCAACGCGGTATCATGAAGCCTGGGGATTGCTCTGAAAGACCCTCTGAGAGGGTTTCCGGACGAGCAGGTTATCTCAGGTGACATAATCACCGTGCTCTGATGCGCAAGATCGCCCGCTCACATTTGGCCCCAGTTTGTAATGACGCCCATCATCCTCGTCTCCTTTCTGCTCTCCCTGGCCTGGGTAGACCTCACCTATACCATCAGGAGGTCAAGAAATCATGGCCGGCAGGGCTGGATGCCTTCCTGGCTGCACAGTATCCTCTACCGGAGATCACAGTACCGCTACGCAGAAGCCAAGGACTCAAAAACAACGACGCCAACGGCGACACCGAGTCCCAAGGACGAGAAGGAGGAGTTTTACTACCACAGTAAACAGAAGAAGCTGTTGCGCGCAGAAGTTGACGATGCGTTCCAGCTGAGAGGTCAAGTTCTCGTCGTAATGGCGCTCGTGTTGCTCACGACGTCGCTGGCTTTTGCTTGGGGTGGCTGGAAGGTCTCCAGCTGGGTGTGGAGGAGCTTTGGCGAGAGAGCTTTCGGCATTTGAAAGGTTACGAATGAGATTGTTGATTCTGCGCCGGGCTGAGATTTCTGGCATACGGTCGCAATTCCACGATTTTCAAAAGCTCTTCCCAGCTCATCAATGCGCACCGGGGACTATGGCGACACAAGTTGGGATGAACTTTCTGTTCATGCGACTCTTCCAAGGGCTCTGCCAGAGTCGATGTCGGGGCCCACTCGACATTACATGGTGCTTGACTCGGCCAGCCCTCGACAGCTCTCAAAACCTCTGGCACCCAAATCGATAAACGGATAGCAATTTAGAGCTGACCTCAATGTTGGTGCGCTATTGAATACAGCCTGGGAACATATGACTGGCTATGAAGGGAAGACTGGATGAGAGTTTGGACAAAACGGCGTAGAGGGCGAAACCTTGGAGGTTTGATTATACCCTGGAGTTGATTTGTAGCTACCTGCACTTAATGATGGAATCAAAAGTGTTCACATTCCTCGGGTGGATCAGATGTGGGAGTCAGCTTATGATTCTTGTATGGATACCATGATGCAGTCTTATGTTTTCACCCATATGAACACGTGGGAGAAAGGGAGCGAACATGTTACCAAAATTAAAACATCGTAGTTCAAATATCCACCATTGACCATGATATCCAAGTGCTAGAGAATTGGAACTTGCTTTGTTCAAGGGCAGATACTCTTAACAGAAGCCAAGTCCACGGCAAAAGGATAGTTGAAAGAGGTCACGTTGGCATGAATATGAGGCAGGCGCGATCATGCGGTCCAATCTTAGAGATGGGATCGAGCAGGAAAAAACGACAGGGAATGAGATCGCTCCTTCCCTTGGGGGACCTGGACATCAGATCAAATCATCGCGAGCCTTGCTTTATAAATAACTACATGTCTCCCCTATTCTTTATTAAGTACCGGATCATATAGTCGACGGGTTCTGAGCTGTAGAGGCCCCGGTTAGGCCGTGAAGTCTCCGGTCTATTTGGGGGTTCATGTTGGATCCTCGATCAGTCCAGCTTGATTATTGCTCTTTTTAACTCTTTGCTATCAGAGATATCTGATCTAACGGTACTCCCTACTTAAGGTATTTGTGGGCAGCCGAGAGTTCCGATTTTGACCTCCTACATACAATCAGAACATACTTTCTTATTCGCATACTCGAACATCTCTAATAAACATTTCTGTAGTCTCCTAGTGACTAGACTGAGGAAATGTTGAGTTTTTCTCTTCTCAATCTTTGACATCTCAAGTCTTTCAGTCTTTCATACAAAAGCTTGTTGCACTGCATCTTCTTGCTTGCCAACTGCTGGGGAAGGAGACTCAAGTGGGGCCGATCGTGGAGTGGGCCCAGCACCCTCAGGGAACGCAGCTTCCCTTGCCGGCTCTGGAAATTTTCTGGAGCTTCCCTCTTACCCCACACACGCGCCGACTTGCTCTTTGCACCTTTCCTTTTCTGGCTTTCAACGCGCCGACTCCAACTCTTTCAAGTTCAACTCACTCAACCGACCTTGCAGCTTGCCTTTTCGGACCCGTTCATTCATTCACTGCAAAAACGTCACGGAGACATTCGGCAAATGCGACATATGGGAAAACAGTCATGTCGGATCCGGAGCCTGCACCTCCAAGGTCCGGTATCTTGCACGGCACCAACGCGCCACTGAGCAGTGCCTTCAGAGCAGAGCTATACCAGGCTATCGAGGCCCTTTACGCGGTCGGTGGTGGGCCCGACACGTCCCACGCGATCAAGTCAGAGACAGAAAGCTATCCGACCACGACAGAACAGCACTCCGCCTCCAGTCATGCAATAGATGCTGCATACGGTCGGCTCACCGACATTCTGCAGCACTGGGACTCTAGGATTCAGGATCGATCCCTATCACTTCAACATGCTATCTACCACTTCCACACCCCGAAAAATCCCATGGAATTCGAGAGTTGGGTCATGGGGCAGAACATGTCTGCTGCTGACTCTACCCTCGTTACTCGTCTCATCGACTTGTGCCCTCGGCTAGGATTCGAGGTTCTTCCAGTGGTTATGAAGTATACAGGAAAACATTGCCAGTACCAAGCCTGGATTTCCTTCCAGAGAGACGGCAATGCCGGGTCGCAACCCCCTGAGCAGAATGGCTTTTGGCAGGTCAACCAGCATATCAGTCACTTACCCAGCATTGGGTATTTTGGCAGCTTTGACGATTTCACGCTTGCCGAAAACATCAATTGCCACGCGGGCAATGTTCTAGACGAAAGGAACATTCTCTGGGAAAGGGCTCGTCGGTCAATCTTCTCATGGCAATGGCCCTCTGAAGAGCGGGCCTTTCACGAAGAGCGAACATATCGTGAAACAAACCCTCAGTGGTACCAGCACATTGTCCCAGGCACTAGTGGTGACCTGGGACATTACTTTGCACCAGTAAGTCCAGTGCGACCTGCCGTCACAGTGTTTCTGACTCCATTCTGACTATACACAGGCAATCATTATTACACCTCTCCGAACACAACTAGACTCTGTCAACATAACCCATCAACCGCAGCTTGCTGGCAACCTCTGGCGCTATCTCTTGCGGCAATGCAAAGAATCTTCAGAGTCGGCTTTCTACTTTGAAGTACTCAAGTCTCTTTGTCAATTTGTTTGGCCTCAATACGGCAATGAGCTGTCAGAGACACAGATCCTTGGCCTGCGAGTTCGGAGCCGTGAAGATTTTATCGGAAAGATCGACCCTGGTCTCATGGGTGATCTAATCTTGACTTCACTGGCGTTCAACGACCATCCACTTTTCCAAAACCTTGTCGCCAATACCCGATCCAAGCCGATAGTAGACTATGACTGGATATGCCAGAATGCGATCTTTCATGGCTACTCAGCAGCTCATGCTCTTTATGAGTAAGTTGTACATTTGCAATCAACAATCAAAGCTAACATCAGCTTAGGCTTCGCCATTTCTTATCCGAGGGCAACAGCTTCTTGCAAGTTGCAAGCATAGTCGAGAAGCTGCCTGCATATGCTGAAGCCAATAGTTCGAGCCGCGATACCCAGGAGTTGGGGATCATGGCCATTAGAATGCTTGAAGCCCCTCTTTCAGCTAGCCATGGCCGGCTCATAGTAAACCTCTTGGAGTTGTTCAAGGACTTTGGCACGTGGAGGGATACGTATGCACATTCTCTGCTCTTTACTTTCTTCTTACACTAACAATCTACAGGGTGGACGCAGCTGTGAGCCGACTTGGAGAAACCCAACAGCGGAGCCAGTTCATACTCGGATTGTTTAACAGACTTTTTGAGGTGGCCAAGAGACACAAGCTCCCCCTTGACCAAGTCACCGAGTTTTACGAGAAGCACGCAGGGATGACAGGAGCATCACGAACGCTATGGAACGTCGAGAACTTGGTTAGCAACGCCAACAAAGAACAGAGCACTGAAGCCAAGGCTGCTCGTCAGGCTTGGTGCGTTGCTGAACCGACAGAAGAATTTCTTCACGACCTCTCAAAGCCGGGCCTAACGAACCACACAATGATCGCTGGACTACTCCGGAACCTTGATCGTCTAGGTATGAATGATCAAGTATCCGATCTCACAACCCACATCGCCCAGCATGTTAACGAAATTCAGCCCATCCATTTGGCACCTCTCTGGCTACCATTGCTTAAGACCCTCCAGGATGTGGTGGACCCTGATAAGCCGGCATACCAGCGCCTGTTTCAGGCCATCTTTGTGTACTACGAGAGCGCAGTCTTTGAGGATGTCTCAGGTCGGATCGAGCGAGAGCCAAAATCGATACCCCCAATGGCTGAATGTTGTAGTCACTGCAAGACTCTCAACTCTTTCTTCGAGCAACCATCATGGAAAACGATTCACTTAGTGAAGCCCAGGGCAATCGTGGACCATATCCAAGGACAGCTCAACAAACAAGATAAGCCCATCAAAGCAGCCATCTACGGTAAGAACGAGGCTAGCCTGACGATGCAGCTTACCAAGTTTTCGCTGGTCAATGAAAGAATCCGCACAACCGAGAGATTGAGGAGACAGGAGGCTACCAGAGCTGTTCATCAGTTCGACCCAGATGCTCTGCTTTCATTCCTTGGAGACAAAGGTGGGATCATGTGGAAGCTTGGAGATGCGGAGTCTCAGGGGCCTCTCACGAGCACCGCCGCGGGACCCTCAGCTTCTTCTTCGGCTAGTGTGACTGCTGAGCCATCTAGGCCAAGCTTAACGTCCACGCCAAGCATTCCTCTAGGGCCTTTGGAGACGCCTCAAAGGGGCTACCATGAATCACCGAACAGAAATGACTTGCCACCGTGCAACAGTGTGGTCCATACTCAGACAACACCAAAGGTGGAGGATGTGGAAATGGCGAACATTGTGAAGCCAGAGCCAGAGCCCACTGCCGTTTCAACAGCTAGGCGGTCAGGTCACAGGGACATCAGGGAGATGTTTGGCGCGAGCGTCAAAAAAGAGAAGTCTACAACTACCCCAAGCAGCAGCAGCAGCCAACATGCTGCACCCGTTTCCAGTAGCACCTTGGCAAGAGATCGACTTAAGAACTTGGGCAGGATCAAGCTTGAGTCTACACCCAAGTTCGATGATAAAGCGACGGCCCGGCTACGGGCGAAGCTAGACACAAGACTGACGCCGAGAGAGACACCTCGAGAGAGCAAATTCGATTCCGGAGTATCGAGAATGCGTGATCCGTTGGCACCGTTCGGAGGGGGCGGTTCGAGAAAAGAGCCCATATCGTCGTTCAGCAGACGAGCCGGTTTAACGGGGACTTCGGAGGCCATGTCTTCGCTCCAGAGCACGCCTGACGAACCTTCCAAAACACCGCGGCTGGACGCCATGATGGGTGGTCCTACGCCTAAACCTACACCGCGTCTGAACGCGTTATCGGGAGGATATTCCAACAGCAGTCGACTAGGCCTCGGGGTTAGACCTAGGAGCCCTTCGAGCAGTCCGTCACCCGCTACCGGCAACGGCACCCAGCCGGACTACATGGCGGCGATCCTAGACGCGGAGCGCTCCAAGAAGCGTCGTACCGGCTCGACATGGGAAGTGCGGTCGGTCTCGGGTAACATCATGGGCTCGGGCACGGCGTCCTCTGCCGCGAACAGGTCGCGGTTCAGCGGACTTGTGGATGCAAGTCAACAAGAGAATCCCAGGCTCACTTCGCTTATGAACGAGAAGAGCCCACCACGTTCGCGCAGCGGGATTGGAGGAGGAGCGAGAACCTCGTCGAGAGCTCTTACGGCGCGGTCTCATAATGTGAGGCCGGGTCAGACTCGCATTTCCGGCACGGTTCCTCCCAAGAGACAGATGGAGGACAATGACGACGAGGATGTTATTGACCTCTGCGGCGACGATGGTCCGTCTCTCAGAGGACGTCTCGGAGGAGGAGGAGAAGCCTCGGGAGGGAGCAAGAGGGTCAAGACCACTCCGGTCTTCAATCTTCTTGACGATGACCCTTTCGGCGAGGATTAATGGAGAGAGAGAGAGGAGTTTGGAATTCGTCTCTTTTTGGCATGAGCTCAGCGCGTTGGAGCATCGGTGAGCGCTTGATTCACTGGACATGGTTTGGTGATATTCCATTGGTAGAAAGGGCTTTCTCTTTCATGGATTGCAGGATGGGACGGTAATTGCGGGAGAGGGCGTTTGGTCGAGATATTTCCTTCCTTCTTTTTTTTCTGCTGCCTCAGACGGGCGCACATAGGCGATTTGCACGATACCCATCACCATAGACGTTATAGAACTCAGAAATGCAAGGCTCTTTTCTCTTCACTTTGAATTAATGGAAAACGATAGTCATCATGAATCATTTGTATTTGGATGACACATGTCATTCCTACGCTTTAAAGCACTGCTTTCCCAACTTTGCGTGCCCTGCTTTTGGGAGGGATGCCTTCTGTATTGGATACCAGAAGAGTTTACATCACATAGAGAAGATCCGTGTCTAGAAGACAATTAGCATTATGTAAAAGAAGTAAAGAACACGTGAACGACAAGTGGGTGGACACGGCTTACCGATGGGGTGACTGCTTGAAAGTTGAGGCAGCTGGGTGTACTTCTCCTCAAGGACCTCACGAATGCTGTTGAGCAGCTCGACGTAGCTTTGCTGGGGGTTCTTCTTAAGAGCCGTGATGAAAGCGTACGACATGGCTCCCGTGGCTTGATTCGCAATCGTAGCATCGGCACTAGAGAACAACATTTGTTAGAACTTACAGCTCTCTGCCCCCGCTTCAAAGCACGATAGGCAAGAAAACTCACGATGTCTGACTGTCCTTGCTGCCGGACCACATGATGACGTCGGCGGGAGAGGTACGCGTGTCCTTGGTCTTTTCGTACGCATCGTCGCCGGCAATGGCGCGCTTGCCAAAGCTGAAGATAGAGCTCGCGACACCACCTAGGTCGCCCGAGGTGTAAGCCGTGAATGCCTTGAGCAGTCCCTGACCAGCCTCCTTGGCCAGATTGGGCTCCTTGAGAACGCCCTTGGTGGAGTAGATGTAGGGCAGGTCGAGGGCGGAACCAGAGTGGCATGAGTCGAAGATGGCTGTAAGTCTCACGCCGGGCTGAAGGGGTCGGACCATGATGAGATGCATTTCGTCGTCGACAATGTGACCGGCTTCCTTGTAATCAACCGGGTAGATGACTTCGTCGTAGCCGTCATCTTCATCGCCATCAAGATCCTCAGTCTGGCCGCCGTGACCAGAGTAGTGGAAGAACAATGAGTCATTTGGCTGTGCGCCCTGAACGAGCCAGTGCATGGCTCGGAGGATGTTGTTCTTCGTGGGTTGGCCCATGGCCTGCTGCTGATCATCGGTGAGGATGACCATGTCTTCACGCTTGTAGCCGTACTTTTCTACCAGGAAGGCCGACAGGTTCTTGACGTCGTTGATGCAGCCGCGCAGCTCACCATCCTGGCCAAAGTAGTTGATGCCGATGAGGAGGGCTTTCCTCTTACCCTGGCAGGTAGAATACTGAAAGCTGTAGCCATCGGGGGCGCCGTGGCCGAACTGCTGAGCGCCTGAAGGCGGGGGAGGGGGCGCGTTTCGGTTGCCGTGAGCCCAGTCGTTGGAGTTTACCGTAGGCATATCTGAGACGAATCAGTATTCGTGAGACTTTGAAGAAGCGAGGCGGGTGATACTCACGGGGTCTTCCCTGGTGGCCGGAATTGACAGGGTAGCCGTATACGTCGAGGCCCGGAGGCGGAGGATGGGAAGGGGGTGCATACCTTCCGATGTAGCCCTGGTCCGGGTGCGGGTTGGGCGGTGCCTGGTTATAGCCGTAGCCACCCTGACCGGGAGGCGGACCGGGAGGCGGGTTGTAGCCGCCGCCACCGCCGCCGCCGTAGCCTCCGTGGTGCGAGGGAGGGGGGCCGGGGGGAGGTTGGTATCCGCCATAGCCGCCGCCGCCGCCGCCTCCTTGGTGACCTCCATAACCTCCCTGCTGGTGGTGTCCGCCGCCATAGCCTCCTCCACCATAACCACCGCCGCCGCCACCGTAGCCGTGCTGTCCTGGGTAGCCAGACATGTTGCCGAGTCAATTGACGCTGTGCTTGTGCAGGATGAAGAGCGTGGGTTGTGCAAGACGTGTTTTGGTTTACACAGGCTTCGCTGGAACAGAGGTGAGATGAGCTGTGAGTGAGGTGGTGTCCCGGAAAGGGCGGGGTGAGGGGCAAACCCACTATGAGCGAATAAGCTGTGCCAAAACAAGCCTTTGTTATTGGAAATGGAGACTTCCCGGCAAGCCGAAGAAGGTATAAAATGTACAGAGGAGGGTCTGAAGAGCTGCAGAAGTTCGGACTCGGAAGATTAAGAGTTGATATGAACGGAATGCGAAGTGTGTTAAGAAAGATTGTGGGGATCGGTTGGGTGAGATGCGAGAGCGATGCGCAGAGAATCGGGTGGTCGGATTGGGGACAGCAACCTAAGGTAAGGTAAGAGGAGGGGTGGAGGGGTCCTTCAGGTACCTTGCCAAGGTCTTTGAGCGGTAGCGCGGCACTGCGGGAAGCTCCTGCTCACCTCAGAGCTGGGAAAGCGTGGGTTGTGGCAGCTTAGGTACCCGTGATACCTCACTGCGTGTGTCGAGGTGGGAAGGGATGGGCCCCAGTGGAGGGGCAACGGGCGAGGCAGCCCAGGATGAGACGTCTTGAGGTCAGAGTGGTGGGGTTGGAGGGGGAAGGGGCGGTAAGGGGAACTGAACTGAAAGGAAGGTGAAGGGAGGAGGAGGCCTCGGTTGCACTTGCACAAAAAGGCGCGACGTTTTGTCTGTTTCTGGGCAAGTGTTTGGAGTTTTCAGCTGGGATTCACACATGCTGCGAAGCATAGAAGGGCTTCGCATGCGAATCATACTCCGATGGTCAAATCCATCAACAAGCCACAGTCGGGATGCCTCCAAGGCTGATACAGATGGTCCGTGATTCAATCGGTGGCTAACGGTCATCTTGGGCTAAATGGGAGGAAGACATCCAAGCCACGCTGAAATGCAGGTCTCAGGGAATCAATGCCGATGAGCCCAAATGCCGGTTGAAGCTTGATGCATCACCAAATACCCATGATCAGCGACCGTTCCAACAACGTCCATACCCAATCATGAAATACCTTATACTACCAAGACTACCTTGTTCGAAAGGAGCAGGGGATTAGCTAGGTAGCTAGGTGCATAATTGTCTGTTATGGTTCATCGTTGGCCAAACTCCCATCGTCTGCCAAGACCAAGCGGCTGTCAGTTCCCTCCCCTTCCCGCTGACGGCAGAGGAGAAGGGACGACGTGCCCAGACCTGGTCTGACGGAAAGAGAGGGCGGAAGGTGGAGGAAGTGTCCCATTGCTGCCCTTTTCTCTGCAACTCTGCGCAAGTCTGCACGCTATCATTCGTACATACGCAGTACAGCTGTCTGATGTTGCCACCCACCCCCAAGCCCGGAAGCCAATTCAAAAGACCGGACAGGACCTAATCCTCTTTGAGCAACGGTGATGTGGATGTGGCCGCGTACGCTTGCAGGTCCGCGGGCGGAAATAGACTCGGACGCCAAGACCTTCCCAGGCCACGCAGGCGCTAGATGGTGCCGTAGGGCAGCCTGGCGTCATACCTCACATGCTGGTGGTGATCAGGGTGCAAAGCAGGGTACTGGGCTTCTTAGGTAAGGCAGGTTTTTGTACTGCGCACGCGGTATCTCTTGATGTGAGAGGGGAAGGGCCTAATCTTGAGGTGATACCTAGGTAGGAGGAGTATGTCACCAGCAGGTTCAGCTGGCGACGGCTAGACATCTGTCAACCTTAGCACACCTTGGGTCTTTGGCGTCGCAGCCTGGAACTGGGACTGGACTGGACCGGGCTTGATGTTGATACAATTGACTAAAATAAAGTAATACGAAGCTAGGGACGGAGCAAACTAGCATGAGCTCAGTCTCAAGCCGGGGCTGCCACAGCTAGAAGAGGGATGGCACGCTGCTTTCTCGGTATCGGCATCCAGCCCATCGGCATCCATGTGCAGGTACCTTGCTCTTCACAGCAGAAACAGGTGGGAGCAAGGTAGCCCAGCACTAAAAATGTAGAACCATTCAATCAGGCTGAGGCCAGGCGAGAGAACGAGGGGCTACGGGCTAGGTACCATTCCTACACTCTTGTTTTTCTCCCCTCCCACCTATTATCTTGCCTGCCCTCTTCTTGCCTTGCATCTTTACCCAAACGTCAACACACGATTCTCCTCGCACGTCGCACGCGATAACCTACACGAACCGGCCTACGCATCAAGTTATCGTCATCGTTCTTTCGCCCAGAAGCTCGCTGTAGCTTGCTCGACAAACCTATTCCGTCCACGACACACACTCGTTTCCCGACCCCGCAAAACTCAAAAATGGTGCGTTCTCGGTCGCGCGACCCATGATGTTGCCCCTCACGTCGCAGCTCCGATATGGCTGTCGTTTCCCTGGCACCCAAAAGGCTGACATTTCGACTTCGATCTTCGTGTAGGCCCCTCCGCCCTACGGACTCACTGAGGAGCAGTACAAGGACTACAAGCAGGTCTTTTCCATCTTTGTAAGTTGCAAGAACCCTGCCTCGCACATACGTATCTCGACAATGGCATTATCGTGCATTGTCCTCCTCCTTGGGATGAACTCCTTGCTGACAGCGGTGTTTCTTCCCTGACAGGATCGTGATGGCACCGGTCAGTCACTCCCGACTCAACGCATACAACTAGCCTTTCATACCGAATCAGCCTGCTAGGCTTGCCATTCCCGCTGGATTATCAGCTCATCCAGCTAACTAGAGTTGCGTATCTAGGCGCCATCAACGCGGAGGAGTTCCAGATCGCCATGAAGTCTCTTGGGCTGAACCCCAGCATCCAGGAGGTCAACGAGCTCATCGCCGAGGTCGACCCCAATAACGACGGCGGAATTGATTTCGAAGGTGCGCCTCCGTTTTGAACCGTGGCGCTATTATTACCACTGCCGCCATGGTGATTATGCTGTAGCGAATTGGAACCTCTGCGACTAACAACGACCGCAGAATTCCTCCAACTCATGAGCGAGGCACCCGCACCCTCAAGCAAAGATTCCGACACCAACACCGAGCTTGTCGCCGCCTTCAAGGTCTTTGACAAGGACAACAGCGGCTCCGTCTCGCCCTCGGAATTGCGCCAGGTGCTGCTGTCCCTCGGTCAGCGCGCCACCGACGAGGAGATTGAGGAGATGATCAGAGGTGCCGATCTCGACGGCAACGGTTCTATTGATTGTAGGCAATTCCCAATACTGCGAATTCGTACCCATGCCGACCGCGATCGCATCAATACTGCGAGCGCCGCATCCCTCCTCGCCCACCGGAATGGCCCTGCATCACCACCCCATTCGCATTTCGCTTGCCACCCCCGCCCCCACTCAGTGTTTCTTTAATTAGCACCATCACTTTCGGGAGGATTGCGGCTGACATTGCAAAACACACAACAGATCAAGAATTCGTCCAGCTCATGGCCCCGAAAGACGGCAAGAAGTAAAAACAGTATTCTGCAAACGCGAGAAGCAGCGACAGCAGCGACAAACGGTTTGTTGGCGGGGCGATCTTTCTTTGATTTTGGGTCCAATGGGTGGTGGGGAGGAAGGGGGGGAAAAGCACACACTGCCGCCTTGATACCCTTTCCTCATAAGGCACAGTGAGAGAGAGGATATGGATGGGTGCTTTAAAAGTGGAGGAAAACGACTTGGCAATACACATCACAATCACACACATGACACAATACATGCAAGACATTGATTGACAGCTTGGACACGGATTATCTGACACATTTTTCACCACGGTCTTGCCTGTCTGACGCAGGAGAATATTTGACGGGTGCGTGTTTTTTTCTTGTTGGGGGTATTCACTCTGCTAATGACTGAGGTTGACTATTACTATATCGAGTCCTCCTCACCAAGTAAACAACCCCGAAAAAACCCTCCTATCCCAGGAAACGACAAGGAAAAATGAGCGAAACGCAATCGCCATGTGGGTAATCGTAAGAGCAAAGAATGTCTCTCTCAATGCTCAAGTGAACAAACTAGCGTACGGTTGTTCGTGAGAAGAACCGGCATCGCAAAGAAGGGGTGTGTGTGTGGAAGGATACGAGAATAAAGCAGGCCAGTCTTCCAAGCCGAGTCAAACAACCTCCCGTTTCCCTCCATTCCCTCCAATCCGTTTTCCCGTTCTCCAAATCAAAGGCCGTGATCGCGTTCGGGGGGTTGATGGTGGTAAGGGGGCCCATCTAGTTGGTGTCTTTGTGTTGTTGCTTTGGGTCGCACTTGGTATCATCGTTTGTTGTGTTTGGGTGTTGCTTTTCGCTCCCTCCTTCTGCTTGGCGTCGTTACACGTTGTGCGTGTGTACGTGTGTGTATGTGGATTAGAAGCAGCAGGTCAGGCACTCGAGGCAGCACTCGCAGGTCTCTCCACAGAGCCAACAGCAGCAGAGAGTGGCGATGCTATTCGTGTGGTCAATATGCGATCTTGGACAAAGTGTTCATGTGCGCGCGATGGTCGCAAAGGCTGTTGATGTTGTTGTTACTTACCAGCCGTAGAGGCAGCCCTTGTCGTCCTTCTTCTCCTCCTGGGGAGGGGGAGCCTGGCCCTGGGGAGGGTAGTACATCTACGAGAGCAGTGGAGGTCAGCATCAGGCTTTCGCGAAACGAGGGTGATGGCGTCTATGTCTTCCCATTCGATGAACGGGTCAGTGTTTTTTGTGGACAGAGAGAACTTACGGGCTGCTGCCCGGGAGGAGGGTAGCCCTGGGGAGGGTAGCCGCCCTGGGGAGGCGGGGGAGAGCCGTAGTAGGGCCTGGAAGGGATTATCAGTTATTTTTGAGGTTTCTTCTTGATGCTTTCTCCTGAGATATTTGGAAGGTGATGTTGGTTTGGGTGTGAAGAGTGGGAAGGCGTGCGCGCGCGCGCGCGTGTATACGAGCGCCGGTGCGCATGAGGTGAAAAAGAGCTTGGAAGACTTACTGCTGGCCGGGAGGAGGGTATTGAGACATGTTGATTAGGAAAGGGGTTTGTGATTATCGACGAAAAGGAAGAATTGACGATTTGCGAATGGAAAGTGGAAAAATTTCAGGAAAGAGAGTGAAGGTTGCAAGTTGTAAAGTTGCAAGGGGTGCGGCGGAAGTGGTGCGTGGGACGTGAAGGAAGGAAATAGGCGGTAGGTTGGGGGATGGGATAGGTGAGATGAGATGAGATGGGAAGTGGGTTATGTTCTTTCTTCCCCTCCCGTCGGTCACAAATCCAATCCCAATGTTTATTCTAGGTGTGTGCTGGGATCATACCTCGTTCGAGGCGCAGGACATAACCTCGGGGAGGCTCAGAGTGAGCTTGGGAGTGAGTGAGTGGTCCTCTGGGTTCATGTCTACCAGCGATTCGCTGACAGCTTCACACACACATTACACGCGCGTTACGTGTAAGATACGGTTATGTCCGTACGGAATACCCATCCCACATCCATCGAACCCATTCGCACCAAGAGACGCTACGCCTCAGACATTTGCCGTCCATCCTTGGACATCCCGGGAAGCCCAGTGAATAACGCGGAAAGGGTTCACTCTAGGCTCCCAAGGGTCCCTTTCTTGTCCGTCCCGTAGCCCGGCGTGCGTTTCCCCCTTCTGCTCATGCTGTTCCTCTTTGGTCCAACCGTATCTTGGTTGGATCATGGATCATTGGATGGCCCCTTCCCCCCCTTGTGTCTCCTTAAAAAAGGGTCCTGACTTCGGGCCCGCGGATCGCTGTTCGCGCGCAAAGGGTTCCAGTTCCCAGTTGCATCAACCCAACGGCGGCCATGTGTCTGATGGTCCAATAACAGTAAGGTAAAGCACAAAGAGGAGGGGAGCCGGGGATCACCTTACTGCTCGGTGCTAGGCATGATCAACTGGTCAGAAGAAGTTGGAGCGACGACGAGCAACACCAAAAGAAAAGAGGGTCTCGGCCGGGATGCCGGGCTCTCGGCAGTGGCATCTGATGGTAAGTTTTCTGGGCGCTCACACATGGGATAGGGAGTCGCCGTTGCATAAGTTGATAGGGCGGAGCAGGGGAGCAGGGGGTTGATGGGCACTGCTAGCCCGGTAGGTTGTTTAATTCGATAGTGTCCGTATATGTCCTCAGAGTCAGGCATCGCCGATTTTGGTACCAAAGTAAACCCGTTTGGTGGCTGTAGTGCTATATAATTCGGCATCCCGCACTTGAAAGACCGGATAGGGAAAGTAGTGTCAAACTCTCGTTCAACGGGCACAAGCGACAACGGTCATACCGATTGTGTACGAAGTAGTGAACCATGGTGTTTTGTGTCTTTGTGTTTCCTTGCGCCGTCTTTGAACGGGACAAGGCTTCTGGGGTGGATAGGACGGCACCAAAAGACCGCAAAGCCAAGAAGCCAAGGTTTTCCATCCCTCTTGGCAAGCGTACGCGTCCACCGTCCAAAAGCGTTAGGACATCTGCAGCTCCTCAGCTCCTCAAAGCTCGGCACGGCGGTTTGGCGAACAAATGGGCAGTCTCACACTCTCGTTCAGTGGGTGGTGGTGACTGGAGATCCATTGCCGAGCCCGTTGGGACGGCACGAACGGGGTTTTGGAGGACGCACTTGATGCACTTGATACACTATTATTCTTTCTTCCTCAGACCTCTGGCGCGATTGGGGGACACCATACCCCCTGGAAGGTCAGTCATATGAACAACAGGCCGCAGCAGACATAAAGGAGGGCGATGCTCATGCGGTTTCCTTTCGTCTTTGATTGTCGACGATGTTTTGATTCATCGCTGTGGCTGTGGTTTGATACCATATAGAAAGAGCCATATGACCCGTTTCTCTCTTTTCTTCTTTCTTTCTCTGGCCTGTTTGCCCGCAGAACGAACAGCTCAGCCCACTCGGTATTTCATTTGCATGAAATGACCCCGTATCTGTACGTATAAGCAAGGCATTTCTGCATTCTGCACTGCAGACGCGCATTTGTGAAGACGTCCAATATGCTCGGTATTACCAGACAGCACAGGACAGGACAGGACATGCAAAGAGGTGGCATTAAAGTAAAAGGGAAAGACATGACACGGTGACACACCTTTCTTTAGCTTTTTTGCTGGTGTTTTTACCGTAGGCGGTTAGACTCAGCCGTTTTTTTTTTTTCTCTCTTTGGCACGTTAATTAATAAGGATAGAAACTTCGATTTGCAGGGAAGAGAGCTTCAGGTGAGAGGGCCTTACAGCGGTACCTTAGCTACCAGTCTAATAGACTAAGCCAGATTGGGGTCCGGAAACGCCATGTTTAAACCGGGCGGGTGGAGAGCGGCGGACAGGGCGGAGCGCGGGTGCGGCGAGGCGGCGCAGCTTAGGAGCACCCAGCAGAGGTAGGCCGCAGGGCCAGGAGCAAAGTCAGCAACAGGTCAAGTTCGAGACGTGCTTCATGTTTACTGTTGTATGTTTCTCTGGCCTGCCACTTCCACCTCCTGCTGCTGATCAGCCTGATCTCGCGCCTCACGCCCACCCGCACACGCACGCTTGTCATGCCTACTCTGAGGTGTCTTTACCTTAGGAAGTAAGGTCACTCACACTGAGAGCTCTGGGACCTCAGGATAAGGTAGGGGCCGACGGAGCCCCATCCTGAACCCCTGCCTACGGATATTCTTTTGGTAACCGGATAGGTTGCCCTGGACCCTACCTTAGCCTGGCGCCCGCCCTACCAGGTCTGCAGAGCTCTGCAGCAGTCTGCAGATGTGTGCCAATCACTTGCCTCGCTCAATGAGGTGTTTCTCCAGGAGTCCAGATATTCTGCTGTCCTTTCTCTCTCTGACTCTCGCCTATCACTTGCCACAATGCGATCTTCGTGGTCCTCCTACTTCCCCGCCAGCGAGCACCTCATCCACCGTACCTGGTAAGGTGGCCCGCTTCATGATACGTATCACGATACGGAAAATGGCCAGTCTAGCTAGTTGCACGTTGTATTGCAACTACTAGGTGAGATACCCCAGAAGATGAAGTGTTAATAGCTTGAGGCCTCCTACCGGATTCGGATAGACGGCAGATGGAGCCGAGTGAATTGAAACCTCATCGAGCCGTTACGACCACCCGGTGGCCTCGGCCAAATAAACTCCAGGGCGGTTTGTTTTCAATGACTGAATCAATCACAATCATGACTGTGACTCTCGTCCAAAGTCTGAGGTGAAAATGGGAGGGATCCTGAAGCAGAAACCCCGTACTCCGTACTCTGTACCCCCTACCTTACCTGAGCTGCAACGGGGGCAGGCAGCTTTTCGTCCAACGATCAACCTCACTTGCCGGCCCGTTCCTTCTCTGACTGGCCCAATGTCTATCTGGTCTGCAGTCTGATGATTTGATGTGTGTGAGGTCGGGCGTGAAGCATGAGGTGTGAGGTGTCAAGGTCCCGCAGCATGTCTTCAAAGCTCGGCGCGCTGGATAATCTGCGCCGCCGGGAGGGAACCCATCGGAGCCCTCACACAATCACGCCGCACCAGGCAGGAGCACCTCACTTTGCCTCACCTGGCTTTACCTGAGGTATTACAGGCTTGCAGCACTCCGTGTCTGTGAAAGAGACGCCTCACACACTGCCAATTCACGCGCCCGCTACCCACGCACGTCTTCCAAGCCCAAGCCCGCGTCTCGCACCCCAGAGTTAACCTGCGAAGCATCCGGTGATCCACTCGAACCGCTGTCGCTCTCCGCAGACTGCAGTACAAGTGCCCAAAAGTCTTGTCCAAGGACCACACTGCGCACTCCGTAGGCATCTCGTCAAATCTCCTTGGCTTTTCCCCATCCCGCTTTCCTCGCTTGGAACCTTCCCGTTGCCCGCCTGCCCGCCTGCCCGCCGCCATCTCCTCTTTCCCATACCTTACCTTGCTCCGTACCGTACGGATACCTACCCTTATTGCTCATCTCCCCTCCAGACTCCAGGGCTCCCTCCTTGACCGCCCATCAGAATAAAAAGGAAAAGGGCTGACGAAGCGTGCCACGCTGTTCAACACGTTTTTGCCCCTCTCCCAGCTCTTTTCTCGGCCCTCTGCCGTCTCTTCCGTCCCTCTCTCTCAGCTCCTGCGCTGTTCCTACCTTACCTTACACCAACTCACCTCACATACGGGATATCCCACTCGCGTTACCTGAGAGATACTCCGTACCAAGTCTGCCAACCTTGCTCTCTGCTACCTTACAGCCTAACCGAACAACCGAACCGAAAGATAAACCATGTCTTTCTTCAAGAAGCTCACCAAGGAGTTTGAGGAACTCAAGACCTCCTTCTCCGACGACAAGCCTGCCGAGAAGAAGGACGATCAGCATCAACAGTACCAGCAGCAGCAGCAGCAGCAACAGCACCACCAGCAGCCTCAGACCGGTAGGTGAAAAGAAATTCCCTCTCGATCTCTCCTCGCTCACTGCCCGTTACACCGAAACAAACGAGGGGAAAAGAGGACAAAGTCTCCAGATTTGTTGATGAACAGTCATAAATCATGTACACGTCCCCTCAAACCTTGTCACAATAACCCTGCCTATTTCAACGTCTTCCTTGAACCGAACCATCTTCTGTCTTCTTTACCTCTCGATATCGTATAGATCTTAACAGATCTACCATCGTCGTTACGTTAAGGTTACTGACTCGCGCTTCTCATTCACACAGGCGAACGCGGCTTCGGTGATCAACCGCAGCAGCAACAATACGGCGGCTACGGTAGCGGCGCTCCTCCCTCCAACTACCCTTACCCATCCCAGGCACAGCCCGGTTACGGCGGCCAGCCCAGCTACGCCCAGACGCCGCCTCCGGCTCCCCAGTCTGCCGCGCCCCCTATGGCCGCTCCTTCCGTCTCCAGCGGCTGGTTGGTCCAGTGGGACACCAACAACAACCGCTGGTTCTACGTCGACCAGAGCACCGGCCGTTCCCAGTGGGAGCACCCGTCCCCTCCTACCGGTGGCCAGGGCGGCTCCTCCTATGCCCCGCCTCCCGTTCCCCCCCACCCTTCCTCCGACACTAGAGCCTTCGGCGACCAGGGTTCCGGCTACGGCTCACCCGCTCCACAGTACGGCGGTGCCCCCGCTCCCTACGGCGGCAACCCCAGCTACGGCGGTTCTCCCGCCCCCTATGGCCAGCCTCAGTACGGCGGTGCTCCCGCTCCTTACGGCCAGGCTCCCTACGGCCAAGACCCGTACGCCCAGCAGCAGCAGGGCCAGAACCCGTACGGCACCAAGGACAAGGAGAAGAAGAGCAGCAGCAGCGGTATGCTGCTTGGAGCTGCCGGTGGTCTCGCTGTCGGTGCCGTTGGTGGCGCGTTGATTGCTAACGCCCTCGGTAAGTCAACCCCTGTGAAATGCTTTCGCAATTCGTCTCTTGTCCTTTGCTCTTGTTGAAGATCAGATCACTAACATTCACTACGCAGACGACTCTGACGATGAGCACAAGCACGCCGCTGCCCCCGCAGCTCAACCTCAGTACGGTGGCTACCAGGATTCCTACAACGACCCTTACAACCAGCCTCCTGCCGTGCTCCCTCCTACTGACGCGGATGGCTCCTCCGTCTCTTCCAGTGATCGTGAGGAGGTCCAGGAGGCCAGAGAGGAGTACGAGGAGGCTCTCGCCGCTGCCGCGGACTCTGATGCCAGCAGTAGCGATCACGAGCGCCTCGAGGAGGCCAGAGAAGAGTACGAGGAGGCGTATGAGGAGGTTTACGAGGATTAGACGCGTCTCACAGCAACCTCGAATTGTGAATTTGCACGCGGTCAGAGCGTCGAACTTGCTATGACGACTTGACGACAAAGAACGGGATGGCTCAGCATTGCGTGGCAGTTGTGACGGCCTCTAGAGGAGGATGTAGAACACGGCTTGGTGGTTTTTGGGGGAACAATCGTTCGTTTACCTTATCCCATAGCTTGCGAGATCCATAGCCCCCTTGGAATTCAAACGCGAGACGCAAGTGTTGGTCTGTTGGTCTCTGCGTAGTTCTGTCAATAAGGAGTACCCAATCGTCGATCGCGTGAAACAGCCTGATGGACGTAGAATCGATAGAAGGTCGACGGTGTGGAGAGGAGGATCCAAGGGCATTATCGACCTCGTCCTCCTGACCTCCTTGACGATGGCTGCTGAAAAACTCCAATAGACTGACTTCACAGACTGACTATACAGATGGAGATCACCACCCATCACGCGAGCATGACGCGAACATCGCGTCCCCCCTTGCCCCCTTGGAGAGCCTCGGTCGAAAGATGATACCAGACTAAGGCAGTATAGACCAGGGCAAACCGCGATGATGGGTCGGGAAAGGGAAGGGGAGTACCTAGCTGATCGATGAGACGCAGGGAGGGAAGATATATATGCCAGGCACACACAAACCTTACTCCCGTAAAAAGGTAAGTACTGTTGGTTCCTGTTGGTTCCTGACTTGAAGCGAACTAGCTGTAGCGTGTAGGCGAAGAGATGGGGGGAGTGTGGAGGAGGGGAAAAAAAATTGTTTCAGTCATCCCTTGGATCGGAGACGGCGCGATGGCCGGCGAGACGATGAGGTATCTTGCACAGTATCGATCAAAATCCTGCTTCTCCATAAGGTGGTGGTGGGGATGGGGGGTGAAATTTATGCTTCAGCGGCGGCGTCGGCTTCGTCGCCGAAAAAAGTCGTTTCTTTTTTTTTCTTTTCTCGATGTTGTGGTTTTTCTTTGGTTGATTGGTGTTCCCAGGAAGTGGTGGTGATTTACGCTGCTTGCTGCGCTTCACCCCCGGATTCGCGAGACATGCATGCGTGGTGCCTATGCCTAACTCTGTTAGACCAAAGTCCTGCTTGCCTTTCTTGCATTTCATATCTCGATACTGTACTGTGCTATACTCTCACGCTCTACATTTTGAGAGTTTTTTTTCTTTTTCATCTTCTTTTGTGTAGCCATACATGGGAGGGGCTTGCTGGGTGAGTGGGCAGAAGATACAAGATCGTGCCTGAAGGGTGTGGGAGATGAGATATGATGAGATGCAACCGAGAAAGAAGAAAACTGTTCCATGCGATTTGAAGAGTTGAGACAATGATTGGGAGGATGTATATCTTTGGTTATCATGACGCGTGCTTTTCGCGTACCTTGCGGGATTGCCGAGGTTCTGTGAGATTGAGAGAAGGCGTGATTTGAGTTGATGGTTGAGTTCGACTTACACGCTTCACACGTATTATCCGTATACGGAGTACTGCTTTCTATGCTTCATCAAACGGACTCTCATTCAGTGAATTGCTCGCTCGCTCACTCACCCAACATCCAGATGTCACTCTTTGACTACACTTGCCATTCGCGTAACTCAGCCTCCATTCAAATCCATCTAGGTACACAGCTGAGCTGAGATAATAGCCCGCCGAAGAGAATTGGATAGACAGGACAGGGTATCTGCCTGCCCCCTAGGCCAGCCGTCCAGGCCTGTGGGAAGGGGGGGGGGGGACCCGACCGACCCCACGGCCGATTCAGGCACATCGTCAAGCCGATAGGTTCAGCTGGCGCGGATGGGCAAGGGGAAAGGGTCCGCACTATCCAGTCTCCCGCCCGATTCCCGTCCCACACCCTCCACTGTTTCCTTGCCCTGGAAAAAAGAGTTCATCTGGGCTCGTTTCAGAAGGTTGGGAACTGCGGTGGTTGGTTTGGCCTGGCCCTACCGAGTACAGGCCACACCCCCGGACAGGGCGAGATATTCAGGTACGGTTGGAGGGATGCGGCGTACTATCGATAACACCAGCCACCCCTTGCGTCCCCGTCCTGCGATCGCCGCCTGACAGAGTACTGCTTCCACGCTGTCAATTGCTGTTTGTCCAGGACGAACGGAGCAAGGTGATCGGTTTTCTTGTCTCAGTAGGAGAGAGCGGGAAAGTTTGGTAGTATGATTTGGATTGTGCTGTTTGTATTGTACGCGAGTGATGATCGAGGTAACGTATCTGTCCTGGAGAAGCGAGAACCAAGTGAGAGAGAAAGCTGACGGGCTGCAACATGGGAATGGCGGGGGAAAAGCACTAGGCCCAACACGCCAGACCAGCCACCCACCTGCCACCATTCCTCCGTAACCTTACCTTACCTTGGACCAACGATCACGACACAGGGCCGGCAAGATCCACCGCGCTACCGAAAACAACTATCGCAATCTATATCCTCCATCCGTACCTGCGATAGTAGTCCGTAATAGTCCAGAAAAGGGACGGGGAGGCTGGGGCGGAGGGGGGCGGGGGAACTGGGGCAAGATACGGGATGCAGCTGCGCAACAGCGCGTTGCGCGACTGGCGATCAATCTACTGGACTTATCGCGTGGAGAGAGAAAGTCTAGTAACAATTTAGATACGGATAGTATGGTACCAGAGAAAGCTGACAAGGCTGGGCACCGTCTGAGCGGCTACGAGTCAACGGCGCGCGGGGGGGGCTTGACGTGACAGCTCCTTTGACAGTTCCAGTTGCGACAAGACAGACGGGTAGCTAGTGTAGCGAGTCGCAAGGTTGGTAATGTTGAAAACGTCCACGTCAGTGACAGACATACGCATGCGGTCTCTAAATGTCACGGCTGCATGTGTCATACCGCAGTATTGTGTCGATGATATCAATAAGAGTATGGCGAGCTCATTCCCGATCATGGAATAGAGGCGTCAATCTCAGTCGTAGAAGATCAAAGTCAAAAGAAGGCAAAGCACCAAAAGGTTTTGGGTGTGTCTAAGTTTTTTGTATTTTTGGCCTCTCTGTAATAAGGCACATAAGGCGACAGGATATCTCGCTCAATGAGATTCCAATGACCTATTCTGGTAGATAAGGTATGCTTGCTCTCGGGTGACGCAGCACGCGTGAGAAGAGAAAACAAAGAAACCAACATGTCCCAACTCAAAAGCTAGTTCCAAGCTCGAGATCAACTAAGCGCGAGATGAGGCGCTGAACAACCGCTCCTAAAATGTTCCACAAAAGCCGTTTCCGGGCTCTGACCGTTTGGTACTTGTAAAAACGCCACATTCGATCCCCAAGACAAATGAAATGGTAAATTTCCAGACTGTCGACAATGACGCGAAGGTCAGGGTAAATTACCGCCAGGTACCGTGAAGGTTGGCCCTGCGGCTACTCCTCCGAGGTCCCTTGAGGCCGACGTCACCCTGGACCATGAGGCTCTTCCATCGCCGTGATAGGCAGTTCCGGTCCTTGCCCAAACTGCGCGCGCAGTCTTGCCACTCCGTCTTGGAGAGCTTCAGCTTCTCTAGCACGAGCTCAACGAGTATCCTATCATCCTCGGCGCTCCACCGCTCTCCATCGGCCTCGACCTCCACGGTTGGGTCTTGTGCGCCTGCCGCTTCCATGCTGCTGTGGTTCATGTTCACACCGTCGCCGTTGAGGAGGTGCAGTGTGTGGTAGTCGGAGCGCTCGAGGCCCAGAGGGATCACCTCTGGTGCGATGCGCGCGCGTTTAGGTGTAGAAGGGTTGGATGGGATGGGGTTGTCGTTGGTAGCTTCGAAAGACTGACGCTGAGTTGAGATGTCGAGATCGCTCTCGACGTCCTCGTCCGTAAGAAGACCGTCTTCACGACCCGTCTCCTCATCGGCGGCGCGCCGGCGCTTGTTCAGACCACGTGGCGGCGCGCGCTTTGCGATGCGCTTGCGCGGAAGGTGATCGTTGTTGATGGCGCCATCCTGCTTTGCGCGCGAGCGCAGGCGCAGTTTGTGAGGAGCAGGGGCGTGGGCGAGAGGCGGCGTGGGAAGCTGAGATGGCGTGGGAAGGTATTGTTGCGGCGCGTCGTATGAGAGAGCGGCGCTGGGGATGTTCTGATGCTGAGGTGATGAGAGAAGGGCTTGGAGAGAGCGGCAGCTGTCCAAGATGTGGCCGAAGCCACTGCTAGTTGACAGGGTAGGAGGGCTCGAGGGAGGCGATGCGAAGAGAGACGCCTGGAGTCGAGTAAGAGGCGGCTGCGACGTGTCGCATGAGAAGGCGGATGGCATAAGCATCTTGAGGGATTTGATCGGTATGCAGTCGTGGGCTATTGAGTGTCGCGCGATGCGATGACGAGTTGGCGAGGTGGTTTGGTATGCGACGGGAAGACTTTTGCGACTGTGCGCGAGTATGCGACGGGATAGAAAGCGAGGAGGCTTGGAATGCGCCGGTGGACTGTAGGGGGCGGACGAAGGGGTCTTAAGGGCGAGGATATTAGAGTGATAAGTGTTTCAATATTGAATCACAGGGTCGTCTTGTTTTCTGCAATGGGAGGGAGGAATGCGGATGAAGCAATAATGTGTGCGATAGTTGTGGTGTGTCGGTGAGGAAGTTCGGGCGGGAGACGGGAGGGAAGGGAAGTAAGTGTAAGTAAGGTAGTTAGGTAGGTAGGTTGGCTGGGACCTGGATGGCGGCAGAGTGGCAGGTGGCAGATGGGATGGCGAAGGACTGGAAGGCTCTCATGGGGGGGATGGACTTGGTACCTTGTGTCTGGCAAGGGCGAGAATGGGCTTTCTTAGTGCGCTGGAGTCAAGAGTGGACCATCTGACAAGGGTCCGTCCACTGACTGGGGCTCTGGGGCCCTGGGGGTGGGCGCGCAAACTGCATGCTGCTGCAAGTACTTTGGGCCGTGGTCGCCTGGTGTGGGTATCACAGTGTTTGAAAAGCCTAACAGCCTGTGTCCCCATGCGAGCTCTTTCACTGTCTGGAGACTGAAGCACTCGAGGAACGCCGCGGTACGTATCCATTGCTTTTGCCAGGGATTTTAATGGAAGTGGGAGGCAAGAGGGTCTGAGCTTTCATTCAGACCGACCCTTCCGTTACGTCGTTCTTTCTTTCCTCTCAAGCCTCTGTCCATGGTCAATGTACTCCGTACCTTGACTATGTCATACAACCTATGTCCTGCCTCAGCTACCCTACCTTACCTGCCTCAGGTTCTGACATGATGTAAGCAATCCATGGTATTTGTACATTACATCAGTCAATGCCCTAAAAGACACGAGGCATGCGAGTGATGGTGATGGTGATGGCGATGGCCATGGTGATGATGGAAGCACCCGAAACAGTCTGCAGTCTAATAGATTTACTACGTACGCACCATCAAGACTCGTGGTACGGTCGAGGTAGCCCTCATGAGCGAATGGCTGGACAGGCCACGCGAATAGGTACGCCATCGCGACTTCTCCCATATGGAAGACTGTCTCGTAGGTAGGGCCCATTTTGTGTCTCAACCGCCTCGGGCGGTACCTCGAGTCTGGGACGGCGGCGTTGCTTCTTCCCTTCCAACCATCACCCTCCCTCCCACACCTCTTTCTCCTGTCCCTCACCGACCTGCAGTAGCTTCCCTCTCACCTTCGGGTCTGCACCCTACACCCTCGTCCCTCGCCCCTCGCCCATCTGCAAGGGTTAACTTGCAATAGCAAAGAAACTCACCATCGATCCCCCTCCCCCTTCTTGGCCCTTTTCGTTTTCTTGTAACTCTGATCTCTTGTCACACTCACACCCACCTCCGATCAAAGGCAATACTGCCGGCTCTTTTGTTGCTCCTTGCTTCTTCCTATTTGTCTCGTCAACCTTACCCTTTCTCCGTCTCTTGTGTCTCTCCTCCTGTTCATGCAAGGTGGTCGCAAGACTAAGGCACAAGACCATTCATCTTTACTGTCTCTGCCTCATCTCGTCCCCATCTCCCCCTTTGCCCAATCAATAACCTTTGAGCCCATGAACGATCGGACAGCATCCATCTCCCTGGGCTTCTGCGGCCGAGAAGAGAGCTGCAAGACATGCGAGACATACTCTCCCACGGGACATGCCTTCTACCTTGCCTCACGAGGCTCATGACATACATCCACCTCAGCTTGGAATCCCCGTTCTATTGGAAAGCGTAAGAATGTAGAGAAAATCTACACTTCCCCTTTTGGCTTACTGCGTTCGCTCAGACTTTATCGCTAAGGAGCCGCGGCTCGCGCCCTCCCTTCTGTCAAACTCCCACACAATGGGACACACGGACGGCCAGCCAACATAGCAGTCTCTGTTGAGCCTAGCTCGAGTCAGGGCTTCCACACTCTTGGACTTTCGAGGCGTCTATTGTTTCCAACGACAGACCTGCAGTCAGTTCGGCCCTACAAGATTGCCTACTGCACTCCAGTCGCTCTATGCACTCACATCTGTCCACGGTTGCTGCGATTACTTCAAAGTTTCATCTGCAAGATGAGCCGGAAACAAATGACTATAGATGATGACCATTGACCATGGCGGTTACATATGGTCCTTACGCTCGTGCTTCCTCAGCCGTGGAGAAAAAAAAGTGCTCCTAATGCTGCGCCACTCACCATTCACCATGTACCACTTCCATCGAGAGACTGCTGGGACTGCACAAAGGGACCTAGGCTTGGTACTGCAGCACATTCCGTCTGCGCTTCGGCCAGCTGCCGTCATAGTCTCTAGGTCTTGATTCGAGCGATCTTGGGGGCCATACCGGACGGTTCTGGCGACATGTTCCGATCGGGCCCCTACTACATCATATCTCTCTGATTCCGGATACCACCTTCTGTCGGCCTCGAAGGCGGTAATCAAATCTTGAGAGGCCTACCGGATTCCTCCTGAAGCTTGTTCTGCATCGCATGGTACTCTGTATAGAGTACTCCGTACTTACCGTGCTATACGACCAAATACTCAGTCACACATACTATGCCTGAACTATCCTTTGGGAGTTGTGGACGAGATGACGCATGACTCGAGGGTGCTCCTGGCCATGGAAGCCGGTTCATTGCTCCCGAAACGCCCGCCTCTCATGTTACCGTTCAACGATCTCATGACCCCCCTTCTCTGTGATGCGAGACCACCCTCAGGGTAGCCACGGGTTTGTTCATAAGCGCGTGAGATGGCGGTGTGGTGGTGGTATTCTTAGTGGTGGTGGCTTTCAACCTCAAGTTGTGACGAAGAGCGGCGGACCACCTCGAGGGGTTCGACATCCCGTCGTGCTCCGCATGCCAGGCGCCCTGGACACAAAGAGGGGCTGTCTTTAATGGCTTGCATCAGAAACGTGGGTAAATCCGCTCCATCATGCCCCGCCTCTTCCAACTTTCGCGACTGCGACAAGGGCACACTCTCGGTTTCCTCTCCCCCTCGCTCTCAACGACTGTCGAAAAGCGAAATCGCAAAACCCCAGCGGAAAAAACTCTCGATGGCTTTCCTTGGCCCAAGTAGACAGGCAACGCCAGACCCAGAATTGTCAAAGATTGACCGGACCGTCGAGCCTAGCATCAGCCGGCTTTAGCACTTGCAGGAAGAGCAGGTGAGCGGTGAAGAAATGACTACACCGAGAAAAGATATGGAAATCCCGCGATTGCCGCCCGTGAGTCAATCAGCAGGGCATTGCGCCACAAAACGACGTTGAGCAAAGAAGGTGAAAAAAAAAAAGTGTCCTCGTCGAGAGAAGGTGGGCGGTGCCCGTTGCGAAACTTTGCGATGCGGTCGGCGCGTCGTCGCGAGCCGCACGCGTTTGACGCGTCTGACACGACTCCATTAATGGGGTCGCGTTTAATTGCTTGCAGGACCCATTGGCGAATCAACGAGCTTTTGGGAAAGCATGGCTCACGCCATTGGCCGAATGTTCTCAAGCCGTTTCACTCGACACAGTGCGCCGGCTCCCAAAAGGCGGGTCCCTGCTGGCTACGTACCCGCCTTTTCCAACGTCACTCGTCGACTTTTTTTCTTGAACTTCCCACCGACAGAAATGTAGTATCGTGTATGTATCCGCATCCGTACTCCGAAACGTGGTCCACGTCCGATTCGTGAGAAAAAAAAAAGTCCACCATCCTGTTTCGAGGAAAGGCTTCTGGACCCCGACGTCCTGCGGAGTCATCTATGAGACTGGAGACTTGCAGAGAGAGAGAGAGGTGGGCATTTGTCATGACTTGCCTCCGATCCCCTCCTCCACCCCGTTCGTCCCGTCCATGTGCGCAATTTCTGCCCTCTCGTGGACCCTACCCGTTTGTCTCCCGTCCTCTCCCGAGGAGGACCCTCCATCGTCCTATCCGTCAAGTGTCAGTCACTACGGTAACTGGTCGTCCACCCTATGCGCCCAGCCAATCTCTTTCGTTGCGCAAAAAGTCGAGTGCGAAAGTCGTCCTGGCAACGATCGGGGGCACGGCGGGCGGGACACACTACCATCGAACTCCAGGCTATCCACCACCAGCACCTGCCCATCATCGGATATGTCCCTCTCCCGCCCGCTGTGCCCCGCGCCGCCGCAAAGCTTTGACCGCGCGGGTGCAAGCGATTTTGTTTCCCAATGCTGATGGATATGCCGACTTTTCTGGCAATCTAAGGTATTACATACAAATACATGCATCCCAATCGCACACTTGTGACATAAACGCAATGCGCATGTATGTTATCGCCAGACCTGTAATTGCGCAATGTTCAACTTGTGTGTTCCTAAAATCACACAATATCCTTCGACGGGCTTGTATCAGCAAGCAATTGTCTGCTACAGCCTGTCATTTTCTTCCTTTCTCGACGAACAGGCCGATGAAGTACACCTGCTCGATATCCGACTTCAACTATATCCCCTACGCATGAAACACTATCCCTTGCAACGGTCCTATTTCTTACTAACACCTGGGGTCCAGCTGTTCTTCGAGACTGTTGGGGTTAAGCCTGTTCCGGAAAAGTGTCGCCGCGCGGGACACAAATCGCACAGTTATATTTTGGCGAAACTGCTAGACGGCTCCGTTGTAAATGAAGTACTCGTGTCAGACGAGTAACCTCACAGAGGTTTCCTTGATCATGGTTCATAGCGAGAAACGCTGCCTCTTGTCGCGCAAGGCGAGAAGTACATCGCTCAACTAAATGGCTCTTCCTAGGTAAAGCGGCAGCTATGCTTAGCCGCCCTGGGAACTCATGATGCATAGATGTACGGGATCTAGGAGTGGTCATGCGTTTATCCTCATGGCCGAGCCTCACGCCGCTCACAAGTTGTCTGCCCTTTCTCGTCGTCGGCAATGATGATACATCTGTCTGACAATACAGCCAACTCTTGTGCTTCACAAAGTGCGGGTTATCTAGCCACTCTAACCGCTCGATGTCTTGTTTTCAATACATTATATCATTGGCTTTCTGTCTATGTATCATGACCACGAATAAGAACTTCTCTCATCATTGAACTTGATGGTCCTTTTTCTACACCCCGAAGTTTACTCTTTCTTCATCGATTTTTTTTTTATTTCGAAAAGGGGACCTCATGTTGGCATCTCATTGCCGCTACGTCAGATATGGCAAGGCCAAGTTACATTGCTCTTGCTAGCCTATAAGAGGCG